ATAAAAACTGGTAAAAAGTCATCTTTAAAATACAAGCTCTATTACTACGAAAACAAAGACAAGTCGAACGATTTACTTTTGCCACATTTTTCATTTTATGAGACTTCACATTTTTTATCCAGATCTCAGTCGGGAAGGCATAAACAGAAGGTTTATACTGCTTTTCAGCTGCTCACTTCTATCACTGGGCTCGTCCGGTGCATGGAGTTGGATGCCAGTATACAGGAACACAGTACTCAAGAACTGAGAAAGGCCACGTGTACGTGCTAGTTCTATTCAGATGGCGTACGTGTTCATCATTGACTGGACTGCTTTCTTTCCGCTTCCATATTATTAAAAATATTCAAAACCCGACAGATGGCGCGACGCTTCCCGACAAACTGAGCATTCATTCCCGACAAGACCATAGCCTTCCCCGACAAGGCCATACCCCTACCCCCACCCCATTTTCAAAAACTCCTCGGCTAATGACCGATCTCACAATTCTGAGCTCTTTTCAGATTTCTATTTTTTTTTCATGAAAATATGTTCGTAATTGTATACATCTAACACGACATGAATGTATTCAGTGATAAATTATAAGATTTTAACCTGTTCATTTGGATTTCTAAACTGGTAATCCCCCTAAAGCTTTTATTTACCAAATTTTATATACATGTATACAATAATAAAGGGTAAATTGATTTCATGCGAGAATTATTTTATATCATGTCTTTGTTATGTAAATCTATTTAATCTGTATGCTGAAACATGTAAAAAGAATCAGAGCAAAACTCCTTTGTCAGTTAAATTTATGAGCTGCTGGCTTTTAACAGTGAGTTTGAGACGATTGAAGTGTCGTGGATATCATTATCAATACAGTTGTACGCGAGTTGATCGTCCGAGTGTTATACCTATTAAGGATTACAATCGTGACTTTATATTCTATTTTAATACGCTGGTAAGTAAACTTGTATAAATGACAGTATTCAGTTTTAATGAAAATAATATGCAAGTAAGTTATGACAGATTTCTATAAATAGGTTTAAAAATATTGTCAACGGGATCATAATGGTGATTGTGGACGTTGAACTATAATCTTCTATAGAAGCCATTCCGAGTAATTTTATATTCGATCTGTTTACATTCGAATCTAAATTAGTAGACAACCCGTTTGAATACACAAAGGGTGGATTTGGAGTGCATTGATATATAAATCATTCAGTACAAAAGCATTCTGTAAGTAACTGAAATCAAGTATATTTGAACTGCTTGTTTTGTTTGAACAATACAGGTCGTGAAGTAATATTGCTTAATAATAGATCAGCATAAAATATACTCGAAATGTCGAGTTAAAAGTGACAAGGGTATGTTCCATATAGTCTACGTTAATGGAATGCTGAACACCGATGTCTTATCGTGAATTAACAAGGAAATTAATCTCCGAAGCGAGGTTAAGTAAAATGGTTTTTTTAATTTTTGTTCTCTCTTTAAACATGCATTATGCAAGAGCTAAATCTGTCTATTGCAGGTCTGTCTTTGGGCCTGACGTGTTATCTAAATTATTAACTAGACATTAATTAACAACTCTCGGTGCCATCGTTAACCTGCGATATTTAGTGGATTTGAATGCATTTTGTGATGGATAATTTAACGTAAAAAATGGATAATCGATACTTTCTTTATTATTGTACTAACGTTAATAATGACGACCGAGGCTAGCCTAAAATTGAATAGCTAATATCTCGGTTTAGAGTAAAGCAATTTGACTGAAATTGACAGCGTATTCTGTTTTCATTATTTAACTATTTTTCATTATTTTCATTGTTTTAACTATTAGCTATTATAGTGAGAATTGTTAGCTGTTTATGTAATCTTACCTAAATGCCCTTTAATAGAACTATTCCATTATATAGTGTAAGACTCATCAGGTGAATACATAACGCGATATTAAAGTATTAAAGGATATATGTACGACATTAAAGCATTGGAGACTAGTATAATATTATCTACAACATTGGAGAATTCTGTGTTTGCACACTACATAATTCATAGCTAGCTGTCAATGCGTTCGAAATAGTTTTATGTTTTATGATTGTATCGGCCACACCCAGCTAGTGATAGATTGTGTGTGTTATTATTATATGTTTGTAGTTTTAAATCCCACGGTTCAATATAACAAGGTTGGTGCTGACGTGCAACAAAATATCTAATTAACTTTTATTTTGCTATCATGGAAACGCTGTAATTTCTCAAAAATGCCTATTTTGTTCAACTAGATATTGTAGAACAAGAAACCTTAAGTCAGCCAAAATGATAAAGATCCCTTGACCTCACGATTTTAATCTCTTTGTTTCGTTTTGTCTGCAGGGTTTTAATTACGTAACATTATTAACCAATCAGCCCTTTTTGTACCTTAATCATACCAATGGACAACATTCTTATAATTTAAATGAACATCAAGTCGGTAGACGTTTTAATCCTATGCATATTTGTCTGAGATATTACCAGCAAAGTTTTGGCATTCAGGTAAAACATACTTAAATTGAAATACAGTGCTAAACTGGGTTGATCTGATTCGATGAGCGATTATCAACTTCTATCAAGTACCCTTTTCAATTCGAAAGATAAAGAAAACTCTTTTCTTTGTTTTACTACTTTCCTTTCCATTTTTGACATAAAATGTCGACATACAATTGCTTTTATTCCAATATTGTAGATAGATTGTCATCTCATCAAACAAATCAATACATAAAACACAATGCAATCGATAATTTGTATTCCCGATCAAATCAAAGAGGGGTGCCTTTTTAAATGAGAACTAAGGCTGTTTTTGATTAATAAAATGAAATTTTTAAAAAAAAATTGTCCCTTTTACATATGTATATTATATACTAGCGGTTGGCCCGGCGTAGCACGGGTATAGCCATGAACCGAAAGTAGCATAATTTCGAAATCGGAAGTGGTAGTCCATCGCCACCTGGCCTATTTTACTCCCCGGTCCCAGCTACACCTATACACCAAATTTCAGCCTCGGGACAGGCCTAGTGTAGCCGCCAACCCCGAACAGACAGACAAACCAACACACAACAGTCAGATATTAGTATAGATAAGCGCTTTCGAAGTTACATCTTATTGTTAAGAGCCAAACAGAATATAAGTGTATTTTTGTTATAGGGAAACGTTGCTTTATCTGTTCCGCTCTAATAATTACTAGGTTGTATCTATATATAACTTTTTTGTTGTCAGTAATTGATACAGAATGTTTAAGAGTATGAAGGAAAATTCCTACGAAATATGTTTATCTCGTAGTTAAATCTTTAATGTGGCCATATTTTTATCTTAGGTTTTTAGGAAAATGTTGGCGACCACAAAAGGGTTAATATAGCATACATATCAAAATAGATAAAGCAATATGAAAGCTACCGAGCATGCCCCCTGGTACTTGACACTTCAGCTGATCAAATAACCAAAGGGGAAATGTCTCTAACACTATATATATTTCTCCGTGTTAGTCCCTTTTCAAACGTCTTCGCCGCATTTAGACTCTCTGGGCCGACGAATTTCAAACAAGTGTAGCATTGTCTGGATAACTATGTCTCTAAGCGGTTTATCCAGTCACGTTACTGTTCAATATTTTGAATGAAAACATTTCCGTGTAAAATCAGTATAATTTTATGATTTGAACTAGATATATAATTGTATAGTAAATTATGTTACGAAGCAGTCGTGTTGTATGTTGTTGGTACATGTAGGTAGATATAACTCAGATATATTGCACTGTGTATCATTGTGTCAAAACTTTTTACTCGTGTATTTTGGGTTTGACGTAAATATGAAACCGAGTTGGTGAGTTATTTGTATTAAACATTTCTCCATATTCTTTAGGTTCAGAATTTTCTTTGTGTAATTATTAGTGGGTCGTCGAAAATTTTACAACACGCACAGGGGATTTTATTGATTCTGTGCTACATGTGAATATGATATTGTAATATTTCTGAACTGGATAAAATAAATTTATAATACTGAAATTAATATATAATTAGTTACTGTAATAGACTTGCTTTCATGCTGATGTTGTTAATATTCACGCAACGAGGTTGTCATTGATGGGTTTGTATTTTCAATTCTAATGTATAACATTTTGGTTTAAAAAAGATGCGAATTTATACTAATCATCGAAAAAAAATTGAAAATTCCGAAGATGGCAATAAATTTAACAGACCAAACCAATGCATTTTGAAATGAGCTTTTTTTACTTATGCCCTTGTTTAACATCAATAGTAAAATAAATTGGTTTTTAATAAGCGTAAATTGATAGGATGTTCTTTCAAACAACTTCCTTTTTAATAATATATGCTTCTGTAAGTAAGATCTACGACAGATGGCACTCTATTGAATACAATATAGATTATTGTATATAACTTCCCAATCCACATTGAGAAATTTAAAGTGATTCCTATGACAACATTTTCAAAAATGAGTCACTTGATATATATTAACAGTATTTAAATTCAAAGTGAGCCTGACTCATTGAGGTAGTTTAAAATTTACAATTTCCAGCCAGATGCTATTAAGGTTAATCCTTTCTGTCTTAAAACAATAGTAAATATTAATTTAATCGATGCTAATGTATGCTATTTAGCAACATAATAGGTCTAAATGACAAACAGCATGGGGCTAGCCTAAGTGTTCTCGTATTAAGTATTATCTCCTTGGTGATTTGTTGTTTTTCTGTTCAATTTATCTCGATTGCATGTTATACATGGCTGCTAAGCGACTGCTTAAGAGATTAACGTTAAAAAGGTGCATTCATACTGTTTCGGCGGTCGGAGTTCATTATTCCAAGAACTTAATGAGCTTAAAACAACTGTTGATCAATTGATTACATGGTTTTATTGTATTTGGGTAAGAAAACAAATTTTACTGTTTCATACACCGGATCTTGAAGTATATACCTGTAATCTAGTCTACCACAATCGTTAAAATTGTATCGATTGTTGTATGGTTGCTATAAATAAACCATCACAAATGTCTTCTCAGATACCGTTCAATAGGGCTTGAAAATTTTATTGTGGCTAGCTTTTTGTATCTTTATTGTTTCTAGAAGGTGTCAAGAGTTCGGCGTATCAATATTCGGTGGTTTGGCATATTAATACTCAGTGGCATGCCCGATTGTTATGACATTATCATTGTGAACTATTATCGAAAAGGGTAAATCAATGTTTATTACATACTGTCGCCTTTCAATCATATCGTATACGGATTTAATACGTTTACTTTCTATAGCGGTATATTAGATTTCTAACATACTATCGTCGAATTTCTAACTTCTATTAATGTAATTTCTAAATTAAGACAATGTAGGCCTATAATCGAACTTCTTTATTTGTTCAGTGTAAATTTTAATTCTGTTTCATCTTATTTCTATTATTCAGACGAATGTCTACTTCATTACATGTTAAGCATGAACGTTAAACAAATTTAGAATTTGGATACTTCTACCAAGCAATCATCATCATGGCGTCGTTTGGTGTCGCCACCGTGTCCGCAATTAAGCACATGACCAGTGCCATTATGTTATCACACAAACCACTCGCTCTTCGTCTGGTCGAATGGTTTGGCGGGGTGTTAAAATTGAAAACAACATCGAACGTGATATGGATTTCAAACAAAATTTCAAATTCAAATTCTCCAAACCGTTGTTTAGCTTATTTTTGAAATAGTATTTCCCGACCATATCATGTTCGATATTATTTTTAATTTCAGCATCGATTCCCCGGTTGTACGTGGCATGAAGTAGGGTCGTATGCCCAACCTCCTGGGTTTTTCCGGATCCTCCGGATTCCTCCCGCTGCTAAAGAAATGAAATGAAATGGGGTTTAACGTCTTACTGTTTTCTCCGACTGATCTAATGCAGATGGGCATACGCCATGCAGTGTGCTATGAGGGAAATTTTGCCCGGGAAATGGAACTATGGCCTACTCTAATACGCATTATGACCAACTTATCTTCTGCTGCTGCTTGTCTGTAACGTGTAGAATGGAACTACCATGTAGAAACTGAAATAAACCGGCCTGATAATCGAAACCGTTGCTTAGTCCATTGGTTCGTGGGGTGTAACGACCGTTTCCATCGAATTTAAATTGTGAAGGTTTATTTCAATTTTTTAGAAGTTGAGTTGGCCCACGCTACGTGAAGATCTAACAAATTCTAGAACAGTTCCTTTTCTTTGAAGGCTAATTATAGTTACTATGATTGATTAAAATTAGTTATCTGTTTTTCGAAAACATTTTTTTTGCCATTGGGTAAAAATCATTGACATTGTAAAACGGTTTGTTCATTGGCTAGATGAAATGTCAGGTACGGTCAACTGAACACAAACTAGTTAATATGTTGTCCCACCATGCCGATATCGCCCTTGATGGAATCGGACGTTAAAGCCTACAAACGAGCGAACGAATAGCATATTATGAATGATATAAAACCCGTCCAAATGAAAATAAGGACTTGTCGACAACCGTTTTGTCAGCGTTTTTTTCCGTGCGACATGATTTCATTTTTACAAGATCGCCAATTTGTTTACATAAGTTTTCATTGATATCATTGCCATTTTTTATGTATTGTTTTTTTTATGTCTGTCGTTTTATTAAATGCAAACGTTTTGTCTGTATTTACAGGTATTAAAGAATGATTACAGATGATTCCCGAAGTCAGCCCACCAGTATTACCATGGAACTTCATGGAATGCGGCATTTTTTCATTGTAATAGTATTCACCGTGTGTTTGTTTATAACCATCACATCTTTAGGGGTATTTAAGACATATTCGAATAAATTGATTGGACCAAGTATAAACCATGAAAAAGACAGAGAGTTGCGTCGCCGCGGAATTGATCCGTTTATGTTGCACAATAAGTTTTTACACGCACGGTCATTGAGTGGACATAAGTTGAAAACGTCCGAATTACAAACGCAATCTGTACCCCACCAAAGACAAATAAAGAATGATGCGAAATCTTATATAGAATCACAGAAAATGAAAAGAAAAGAAGAAAGCGATACAAAACATCAAACAAAATCTAAGAAATTACATACGGAAAAGAGAAATTCGGTGCCCGTGAAAAAATTGGATTCCGCTACTCAAACAAACCACCAGGTTACGGTTAATAAAACGATTTCATGGACTAAAGATCGCGACCTTCATAGTTCCGAGACATCCGGAATAACCCAAAGTGTTTCACAGACTACAGACTCTGAAAGACTGAAATCAATAGGTAGTAAAGAAATCAGCGATCGTTTTGGAACATACCGACGTCATAAAATATCGAAAGATAAACATACAAAACCATTAAAATTCATTCCTTTAACAAAAGCAAAGAAAAACAATTCACGTATTTCGCTCGATTTTAATAACCCAAGATTCAAGCCTTTAAAAAAGAATAATTATAACAATGGTTTATTGAGTAGTAAAGGTGAATTGAAATTTAGAAGTATGCATAATAGACTTGAGAATATGTCGAGGAGTTCATTTAGAAATAATGCATCCGAAAATATATCTAGACATTATGGCCATGCATTTAACAAAACAGAAAAATATAATTTCAGTGATACGTCGTCCATATATAGTAGGCGAAGATTTATTCCCCCGGGGATGGCAGATAGCCACCCCCAAAAGAACTTAACAAATCGAAATCAAGCTCAACCATCTTATGTGCTAAAATATAAACCCTTAATTAACGAGAACAAAGATAATCCTGATATCAAGGATGAAAGGGGTCATCGTATAGAAGAATTTAAGAGAACAGAAAAGTAGGTGCTATATGCAATGGGGTGGGGTGGGGATCGACACTGGAAACAAATATATTTCGTGAAAGTAGGAATTTGCGAGCTGAATTGTCGGAGTAATTTTGTCATTTCAATTCTATCAAGGATATTCTTCATAATACTAAGACGTCCAGGAAACGATCTCTACTTTCCATTGGTAATCATGAGAAATTTATTATACTAAAAAAATTTTTGAGGAATGATACAGGGTAACATGCTTCAGCGTGATACAGTAATATATGCATTGGGTTGATACGGGAAAACATGCTTCAGAGTGATACAGTTATGCATTGGGTTGCTACAGGAAAACATGCTTCAGAGTGATACAGATGCATTGGGTTGATACAGGAAAACATGCTTCAGAGTGATAACGGAAAAAAAATGTTTAAGAGTGACATAGTGTGATGGATATCATTGTTGTAAGTGTGTAACTTGTGGGATATATTGCACACGCTACACAGCATTAACACTTTTTCGAAACTCGGTGTGTATTTGAGATCTGCGAATGTTTGTTTGTACTGTTTGGTTTTGAAACGATCTGATTCATATCATAAATACACTACGTACAATTATTATGGATACACAATTACTAAATTTATTACTATGCAACGGTTTCAATGATGATACTCTCGTCTATACAAATGTGTGAATTTTAGACTAATATATACAGAATATGCATATGTTCAATCATTAAATGCCTATCAAAACTAAGCGAATCAAACAATATATCCTGCTTGGTCGTGTTTACAAGATAATGAAACAACTCTCTACATCCCGGATGTAATGGCAACATATAGCAAGATTTTAATTAATTTACCGTGACTATTTTAATTATCAGAAGCGTCTGTGATATTAATATCTAGATCGAATAATATAGATGTTAACTTAACTTTGAATGCTTTTGTCACCTAAATATCATGGCACTGCAAGGCGATTCCGTATGAGATTGGCTGATAATGGTCTGTTATATTGATTTTTTTCTTTAGATAAGAATTTATATATATTTATCATTTAATACACGAAACAGTGCAATGTTCGATCAATTGGTTAGGTTAGGCGACCGATGTTGCTCGAAAAAATGTGACAAATCAATAAATTAATAACTGGATCAAAACCGGCAAAAGTGCCTGTCGTATAGAATAATTTATTTAACCTATTATCTTTGTAAAGACTATTGTTATGTTTTGTTGGGGTAAATGTTTTTTAAATAAAAGGATATATATTTTTTCAAAATCCCTGTAGTCTTTTTAAGACAGATTTTACAATGAAAGGTTTAGTAACATCGGTTCGAAAGAATCAGCATATATTAAGAATCAGATTGGTGTGCCACTTTCAAGGTGCTGCAGCTGAGGTATATCTCTGATTGTCAGGTGTATAAAAATCTATTACTTAATGTTATTAACGAGTTGACCTCATGTTCAACTTCTTCTTCCCAATGCTTCATGAACAGTGTGCCTAAGGTACAGTTTACTGGGGGTTCTGTATTCGCAGTAAATTTGATATCTGACAAAATTGGTAGAATTATTGGCGACCATTGCAAAAGGATATGAAGATGAATGTTACCAATGAACAAAAATCTAAACGACCATCATATCTAGTTAACGCCATGAACAAACCCCAGTATGCCGAACGCGCAAAATAAAGCTAGATTCTTCACTTTGGAGAGACTTGCTTTCGGAATCAGAGGTGTAAATGAGTGGTGTAAATTTTAAACAATATAATTAAAATAACATTTATTTCACCAAATTATCAAAACTCTGATATGCATAGAGTAAGGCATTTTAAGCGAGTATTCGTTTTGCTCATTTAAAACGACTTCAAATGTGCATGGTTCGTAAGTTGGTAGTTTACATCTCGGCGACAATGGACTGATCTGTCCCATTTCAACACCAAATCGACCTTTTTTTATACCCATCTCCGAAATTCTAATAGATCTTTAAACTCTTCACATCAGTTAAAGATAAAACCACGTTAACTCAATAAAGTATTGTGTAATGACATTATGTATTATGCAATTTTGCAGAAATATCTTCCGCCATCTTGAATAGACCATGTCTCGCCCTCGACCTTAAAATCACACTAAAACCACCATCACTTGGACAAAAAGCAGCTCCAAGAATAGTTAGATGGTTCTGCCTCCCATTTGTACTTCTTTTTTGTTTAACAAATATATAATAGTGAAGAAAGGGTCACAATTTACATTGTCCTGCATTGTGATAATAACTGCACGGCAAAGGACATAAACAGCCATGGCTTAGAAAATAATATCTATAATCAGTTGAGTCAAGTTATCCTGCGTTTGTGTCACCAAATCTTGAACAGTAGCTTCATCTAGCTGGTCGACATATTGTTCATGTGAGAGAGCGGGGGAACTATTCTGTAGTTATTTCCCTTGATCTATTTATTGTTCTTGACGTATCAAGATGAAGCAATCTGAATAACAGGTTGCACATCCTTGGCATTATTTACTGGAATACCTACGCGGAGCCTTATTACTCCTCGCAGTGATTCGTTTCATTAGACCTAATCCCACTCAAACATTCCTGGCAGGGGCGTGCTAGGCCCTCAAAATGCAAGAACGCACGAAATCGGAAATGTTTGATAATGCTCGAATCCGATGAGATTTCCTACCAGGGAATATGGGTATGCGTGGTTATGTGTCGCCCATTTCTGAAAAAGTGCCCTCATGTCTGAAAAAGTGCCCTCGTGACTGAAAAAGTGCCATCGAATTTCGAAAGAGTTAACTCAAATACTCATGGAAATGCCCGCGACAATGTCATCATATTCCCATTGCCCTAATGACAACGTTGTGTCCTCTTTTACTGCTGTCCTATCCTTGTTCCTAACAGACCCAGAGATACTAAAAACCAATCGCGCTCTATGTACTTATATGCGCCATTGATCGACCCTCGTTGCTGGTTGACTCTCAGCCTTAGTTGAACGTGAAACAGTTAACGCACCTGATGATCGACTGATTGTGGCTTGAATCCAATTTTCCCTGATTTCGGTTGGCAGTTTGCAACCATATATATATATTAAAATTGGCAGGGGCGTGCTTGGTAGTTTTGTGCCCTCGGACCAACTGGTTAGGTTGGACCGCCATCGCGGTGAAGAATACGTAACATGAACAGAAAACGAAACTAGTTTGATTCCCTGCACTTCACCCATACATCATTTTTCTCCTTGGAACGAGGCCATTATTTTTTTCAGTGGATGCGAAGATGAATTTTAGTTTTTGAAAAAAAAATGTACGTCAAATTATGTTTTTCCTGTCGGTACCAATGGACCCTTGTCCTTCTGCCCTCCCCCCCCCCCCGCGAACCAAATCTTGTGGTCCGAGGCTCAGTCCGCTCCTGAAAACAGATGAGTAGTAATTGTTTATCATTAGGGCAACTTGCCGTGGACCAAAAGTGTCGGAGTTTGGCACAAGTTTCTGGAAAAAACGACGTGGGCTAATATTTTGAGAGATTTTTTTAAATTTTATTTCCGGATCCAACATCCAATCCATTTCCACCAGGCGAGGTGCTGACCAGGCTGCAGTCAGCAAGCCCCAATCTAAAAAATAATTTATCAAATATACTGACACTGGCCCTTATTCCCACTGATGGCTTCCAGATTAGATTTCACAGTCGGATTAAAACTTCCATAATCTTAAGAATCAATTACTCTGTCTTTGCTAAGGAAATTTAGGAAAATGAAAAAAAATTGGAAATTGCAACACGGGTGACGGGATCGTTTTGCGCTGTTAGAATATCCCAAGACCAATAGGCTAAACATTTCCACGAACCCTATTGACATTTATTCTGTCACCAGTACCTTCCTTGGTCAGGTTTAAAATAAACCTTTTACATCGGTGCCACCGTAGATGTCTAAATCTTGAACATCTTCTCGTTCTAAGGGGTTGTGTCAGTTTACTCTGAAGTGCTAGCCCCCCTCCCCATCCTTGGCAGGTACCCTTTGTAAGGAATACCAGTCTCTTTTTTCTTTACTCGTAGGTCGATTAGTTCATGTTCAGATCTGATGGACTTAATCTATGGCGGGTGTGGCGCCAGGCAGGGTAAGCTTACTCTTCCGGACACCTATTACCACTGTTTGTTGTGTATTTTGTACACGAGGAGCAGTCCATTTGCTGATTACACTATTTTGCTTGAATACACTAGTTTGCCTATAACGTTTTTTAGGACTTCGAATTCTGTCTTATGGTTTGGATAGTTCGTACTTGGTTTTATTTTATTAATGCCAGTGTCAAAGAAAACTTTTCTTGTAATTGTTTGGGTTGGCCTTCCTTTTTTCATAAATTGGCCGATCTATTAAAAAAAATGGCATTTACCCTCAAAATTCGGGATTTTCCGATAGCCCCATTTTGCTTAACTTTTAGGATGTCATTCAATATACCCAACACTACTAGATGCTATCAAAAAAACCTTTTTTGCAATTGTTTAGGGGTTGACGCCTTTTTTTCATAAATTGACTGTTCTAGAAACTAATACTCCTAAGTTACAAGACCTATTTATATCGCTCTAATAGTCGATATGAATAATGGAAATCTCTTGCACAGTCCGACGGAGATATAAATATTTGAATGAAGAAGCGGTCGGTCTAGTACCAGACGAATTTCAATGTGAAATTCTTTTAAAATAGTGTCATCAGAGCTAACGAGAGCGTTTGCTTGTTGAGTTTAATATATACAGATTACGATCATAGGAAAATACACCAGAGAATTACACAATATGTATGCCCCGTTTTACAGCGCACCTCTAGATGAAAATATGATCAGGCCTGATTTTGGAATTTGTGTTCAGATTTGATAACTGCGCCGCTTATCGATGTAAACAATATTTATAGCAGTCACGATGTTCTAAAAATAGGAGAATATACGATGTGTTGTAATATCCCTGTATTATATATGACTGAGACGAAAGTAGAACCAATAGACACCGCACGGTATCGATTTTCATTTAGATAGTTTTAAGTTGATATATTATTTCTTTTATCTGACAAATAACTATCAAATAACAGTAAAATAATTGGTCAAATTCGAAATTAAGCCCAAGGCTTAAATACGAGAATTCTCGGTAGTGCCAAACAAAAAAAAAAACATTAATCCATTTGAACGAGTTAGTATCTTACGAAGGCCCATTAGTGCCAAACAAAAAAAAATATTAATCCGTTTGAACGAGTTAGTATCTCGTTTGAACGAGTTAGTATCTCGTTTGAACGAATTGGTATCTCGTTTGAACGAATTAATTATCTCGTTTGAACGAATTAATTATCTCGTTTGAACGAATTAATCATCTCGTTTGAACGAATTAGTATCTCGTTTGAATGAATTAGTATCTCGTTTGAACGAATTTTAAAAGCATATACATGTCATAAAACAATGACTTCACTACAATGCTGTGGCTAACCCAGGCTAACATTACACAAATTGGATAATTTCCAAGGTATTCTATACTAATTCCCCTTTTCAAAAGTGTAGTTCCTTCTACTGACGCTAACGCTAGAAATATCAAAGAACCTACGCGTATTAAATAATATTATCGTTACTCGAAACACAATTTCTACATGTCCCTTCCATGCTTATGTACAATCAAAATCTTAATTCGTTTAAACGAGATAATTAATTCGTTTAAACGAGATAATTAATTCGTTCAAACGAGATAATTCATTCGTTCAAACGAGATAACTAATTCGTTCAAATGAGATATCAACTCGTTCAAACGAGATAATTAATTCATTCAAACGAGATACTAACTCGTTCAAACGGGATAATTAATTCGTTCAAACGAGACACTAACTCGTTCAAACGAGATACTAACTCGTTCAAACGAGATAAATAATTGGTTCAAACGAGATAATTAATTGGTTCAAACGAGATAATTAATTGGTTCAAACGAGATACCAATTCGTTCAAACGAGATACTAACTCGTTCAAACGGATTAATATTTTTGGGTTTTTTTTTTTGTTTTGCACTAATGGGCCTCCGTACTTTTATTATCGGTGTCAAAAAAACAAACTTTGGGTCATTTCCTATTGAAGAAGAGAATAACACTCCATATATATTCGCTTTGACAGTTTTTATTGTCTATTTTGTATACCGAACGTTCCTTGCCAAAACGTCACGAAAGGATATGTATAACAATGTGAGAATTAACTTTTTGCAACATGTGAGCATGAATCGTTAACTGAAATTTTAAAAGTGAAAATTGGCCGTGGTTGTCCGTTTAAGGATTAGAATGCTACTCGATACAAGATTATATAGTCATTCAAAGACATTGCTTCAAACCATTTATTTAGTGTTATTATTCGGAAAAGTTTCAGATACTCTCCAAGAACCCTAGCTACAATATTGTCGCGCCAAACTGTGTTTAACAATACAATTGATACAATACAAATAGGTTCAAACGCACAATTGTAAACACATATCATTACATTTTGTATTGAAGTAAGTATATAATACAATCACAAATAGTGACGACTGGAACAGTAAAATAGTTACCAAACAGTTTTTCTTTGTGGTAATGCGTTCTACATATTTGAAGCGATATTTCTTATAATGTACAAGCCGCCATGACACCACCTAGGCGTTAACCTCGCCTATCGCTTCCCTTATAAGGCAGTGTTACTGCGCTTTTTTACTAAGAATGCGCATGCTATTTCTGGCTGGGCGGACATTTTAAGTTGGATAGGAGACAAATTTCGCGTAGCAGATGGGTTTCATCAAATCATATATTTATGTGGTAAGGCTTCACCGTTATTTCAATGGGAATTGGTTTATTATATGTTAAGATATGTGCAGTACAGTTTGGGGTCACTTTATGTGGAAATTAAGGGAGCTATAGGCCAGTAGCATTTTTGTAGTCATTTGAACTGCTCAAAGAAACTTCTTAGAACGATCCACTATTGTGACTGGAGTAAGACGGAAGGCATCAGTAGTGGAACCATTTCTATACTTATCCCATTACTGTCTCCGTTTTGATCTCCTTTCAACACCCATGCATATCTCGTGTTGCGTCCATCAGCGAGTCTACCGGCTAACGGGGCCATTCCTCTACTCCACAACCCGCCTCTACAGTTTTGCCTTCCTTTTCACCACAACCCGCCCCTACAGTTTTGCCTTTCCCTTCTCCACAACCCGCCTCTACAGTTTTGCCAACCTCTATGGAAACAACCCTCAGCTATTGCCCTGACTTCCTCTTTTTTTGCAAACCGCCTCTACTGCACCACGCTATATCTCTTCTATGCTTTCCCACCTCCTTCTTTTCCAATCATATTTACCCTTCAGTTTTCCTCTAGTTATAATATCGGATCATTTGATAGTAGTCCTACGTTTGGTTGATTGTCAAGCAAAGGACCTAAGACAGTAGATCGAATTGTGTAACTAGCCGATAACTACACCTTAATTTAAATATTATTGTGCGTTTAATGTGATTAGAAATACTTTATTCATATATTTTGACAGAAATGGAAATATGTTTTTCTTTTCATACTAACCATGATCCTGTTTAATGCCTTTCCACCTTATTTTCTTAAGCCCTGTCACTCAAACAACACTTATGCAAAACTACCTATGTCTATTTAGGTCATTTTAAAATTAGGGGGCAAAAAACTGACGTAGCATTATAAGTTTTTGAATAGACAATGGAGTATAGCTATTTTGTTGAGTGCTTGTTATAACCAGTTATGATGCATTATCTGCTATTATATGTCCACGGAATACCTGACCACAACGAAAATGCAATCTGAGACGAATTTGCCATATAAACTATCTTCAAACCCTGTAGCTACAGGAATCAAACGCTTAAAATTTATAACTCGGAATTTCGAATGATAAAATCATCAAAATCATTTAACAGATCTATTATTTTTGTTAAGATATATTTTATTATATAAGTATTATGAATTATGGGTATCCTTGTTTCACTTGTTTTATCCAGTCTAAGAAAGACGATACTCGAGTGTAGACACCTGGGGTGTTTTTGTCACCACAACCATAACCCCATGATACAATACCAGCTATCTTCCATGATCCTTCTGTTTTACATACTAAAGGTCCACCTGAATCACCCTAGAAATAGAATACATATTTTGTGAATTTTTCTATGTCAAGGATTTCGCCCATAGAGTCCTCAAATGCCCCCAGCTTATTACTGAACGAGCCTGATGAATTTTTGTTTTTAGACGTAGTGCAGTCAACAACCGAACAATACACCGGAACGAAATCTCTGTATAATTACACTGTTTCAGGGTGTAATACAGAACCATCTCGAATAATTCTTTCGCTTCCTGCATCATTCATTAATTGGACTATCCCGATTTCAAGAGAGTCTCAAAAATAAATGTCAGAGTACGTATGAAATTTAAGCGCCAAAATATAGAGGAATGGTGTATTTACCTTCTCTCAAACTTCCAGCTCAAAATATTGAGCCGTTCGGACGTGAACGTCAAAACTGCTTATCCGGACACGTAACCCTTTTAAGATTTCGGGGCAGTTTTTTCGTTGGGTGACCCAATAATCGATTCCCGTTCCTTGAGAGGTCTATATAGTGAATGACCCATGTGCTCTACTTGATAACGAAAGGTAAATTTCACCTACACATTATTTTTATAAAATAAAAGTCTGGTTTTATCCAGACACCGCATAATACAGCTTGGGACACCGGTCTCCATTTCTATATGAAGACTGATGGGTTTAAGTTGTTTGAAAACTTATCACAAATATTGAGTTAGTTGCTCGACCCTTAGCTAGAGGATTTTAAGGGATTTTAACACAAAATTAAGCAGTTTTATTCTCCAATAAATATTGGGATTGGCCCTTTAAGGCATATTGTCGTGTAAAATCCAAATTAAGTAACGTACTAATTTAGATTATGAAGTGACGTTACAAGAATCTAATACAAGTATTTATGCGAGAAAAACCAAGAATTCCTGAACTAAGTAATGTACCGCTGCTACGGTTCATTAATAGAGCTTTATGATTACTTTTGGTGTACGACTTTTCTTTATTAACCAAACATTATTCTTTGTTGGTAAGAGTAAAGTAGCCATTAAGTTAATTGTTCAAAAAGACAAGTACAACGGTTTTTCAAATTTATTGAGGGGGAATATTTTAAAAATATTGCCGTCGATTTTTTGTACTACCCTTTCTGATCATTTACCAATTTTATAAATGGGCAACATGTTTAAAACTATTGAAAAATGATTGATAATATTCTAAAAGTGTTTCGAGTTTGAAACCTGTTTTCCCGCTCATCGTGTAAGGTAAAATACTAAATTACCTGACAAGCGTCCCGTCCTCCAGCGTTGATACCAGCACATATATTATGATCATATACAACATTACCTAGATAATAACTACATAGACTGTTAGACATAACAGGTATAGATACTTGATTTAAATACCGACTACCTGGACCATCTGAAATAGATTAAAAGATGATTTTGTCATGGTATTGGCAAATGGAATTATTTTACGGGCACACAATTTGATTGCTCTAAAAATCAAAACAAGTTTGGGGGCACAAACTTGAGCCAGTGGCCTTCTTAAAATTGCGTCCAATTAATGATTACGATTTTGGTTGCATAAAGCATGATACAATTGACGTCCATTGCAGGAGAATGGGAAAATTTATATTTTTGATTGATATAATATCCCTGAGGCGAGTTGTCCTCGAGGCAACTATATGCAGAAATAAATACCACTTTATGCAGTTCTAAAAATACAAAATTCGTCATTTATTATGATAAACATGTTATTGACGTGGTTTTAAAATATTATAACAATTCGAAAAGATAAGGCGACGGATTATGAAGAAACCTCTACTCCCTTTATTCTACCTTCCGGGTAGAACTGTAATATTCTGTAATTTACTACCCAAACTCCATCTTTGTTAACGTTTGGAGACAATGCCAGCACCGTAGTCAGGGCAGTATTGTATTTTTAAGGGTGTATTTGACCTTGAGAAATTGCTATTTATCTAATACAGCTTATAATTTGCATGATCGTTGAAATTTATTTTACATATAATGCCGTAAATACTTTATAAGTGTTTAATTCTCACTTCTATCAAACGACATCCTCGGTGTATATTCACGTACACAAAGTAGGAAACAAACAGTGGTTATTCACGGTGTATTTGAATTTACATTCGGACAGCATGGAGGTGGGGTGGATGGGGTAGGTTATTTGACATAAAATATTAAGACTGGGTAACTGTCGCGTGTTGAGTCCTACTCTAGGACGGCTAGATCTATTTGTTAAGGCCAACTCAGTTTTCGTCAAGGTAGCTGAGATGTAAATAAGGTTAGGGCACGTGATTGTTGGTGAGATTATAGGTTAGGGTAAGCGTTAGGGCTAGGTCCAGGGTTAGAGTTAGGGTTGGGATTAGCGCTAGCCCTGTTTATATCTTGTGACATTTGACCAAACTTGAAGTTAGCCTTATCAAATAGATCTTACCACTCAAGGACAGATCACTAAAGAGTCCTAGATGGTCATTCGTATATTATGCAACTTTATAGCAGGAAGAATAGCTATCACGTGAAATGACTTGTGTAATGTGCATGGTCGAATTTATCGTAAGATTAGATAATGAATAAAATAAAAAAAATAACCAACAGCGGGAGTTTTGCTTCAAGGTTTTAAACCTATGACATGGTTAGGAGATTATCTTAAAGTTAGATATAGAAATACATAGATAATGTCGACCTGAAGCTAAGTATCATCAAATTAGCTGTAGATGTGCTTATGTTATATACCCAGGGGTTTAGTTTAATTGACTTAATAACAGAACAATTCAAAACTTATATAAATGTTGTACACTGAAATCATCGCATTCAGTAGTTGATTGCCAGTCGCTCTCATTGCTGATAGAAGATAGAATTTGAAGCACAGCACGAAAACTACTATAAACTTCTGTATAAATAAAACAGTAAATATGTCTTAATCTTAGGCTGTGTGCCAAAATAATCCCATTAAATATACATGACTAGAACTCCTACCGGTTTCATCAATATTTATGTAAACACGTTTTTACAGCTGCACTTTTCCTAGTCATTAGGAAATAACGAGCATTTCATATAATGCCATTTATATCCTTAATTCCTCATGAATAGTTGTACTCAATATAAAACTGTAGTTTAGAAATACAATATTAATCCTGGAATAATAGTAAGTTAAAGCGAAATGTCTATATTTAATCTTTCTGCTTGGTAGTTTCGAGATCTACTTTTCAGATCGGAGATATGATCATAAAGTCTATCAACCGTATGTCTTGGTCTTCGTTAATAAAACAACGCACGGATGAATGAACCACATTGTTGAAATAAACGAAGTCTAGGTTATTATACAAAAGAATATTCCTCTCGAGCAAATAATAACATTTTATAGGGGTGACCTTACAATAATTTTGGGAGTTATTTTAGGAATTCTATAGTTGACCAATGTTATAGAGTTTTTTTGGGTTTTTTTTTTTTGTAAAATAAGTTAAGTTACGCACCAAATCTTGTTGATCCCCAGCCTGATACTGTGCAGACGACGTTATTAAAATCTTCCGTCGAGTCAGGAAGACATGCTGTTCTAGAGGCCGTTCCTGATATATCTACAGGTTTAGACAGTTTCATTAAAGCTATATCATGAGAATTTGAAGTACTATCAAATGAACCGTGGGTTATTATATCAGCTGCACTATAGACATGACTGCTGTAGAGATTTCTCAGATCTGTAATACCAATAGCAGCAGTCCAACCATTGACATACGTCCTGTAAATAGAAGGTATGCAGACGTTATAGTCTTCGACATTCTCACTGTTCCGGCCATCGTATCCTAATTGTTATCGTCAAAATTATAATTTTTCATCATACTTGTCACCAATCCCGTAAATTCAAACTGGGTTTTAAAGTAGGCTGACAAAATGACAAAATGCATTCATTTAAAGATGGATAGATTGTCGTCCTCGGAGTAATCAGATCTAGGATATTAAAAGGAGTACATAATATTTTACAAGTTATTCTGGCTAAATTCAACTTCTAATGAATTTTGAAGTGTACATAAAAAAGCTCGGTCCATTAGTTTCTGAGAAAATACTTGACTATATTATGAACTCGCTGAAACAGCGCCTGCATAAATTTACATCACAAGATTTTTGCTAGAAGGCGAATCTATGATTCGGGGTAATAGACACCAATGCAGCGACGATCATCTTTGTCGTCAAATCCAATGTCGGTTGTGTTAGATTCCCGGTGATTTGCTAATGTCATCAAACGAATCCAGATCACTTGGCGGTATTGTTGAGAAAGAATGCTTTTGGTGTAAAGAGAAGGTTATCCTCAGCTAGAAACGGTAAAGACTTGTCTTTTGAATTATGGTACCGCACTCGGCAAACCTCAGCAGATTCCAGTACCCTACATCTAGCCTCGGCTGTATGACGAAGTCCGCCATCGGAACTACTTTCAAGTTCCCGGATTACCAACGGCCCATTTGTATGTTTTATCATACAAATATTTCAAGTCTGTAGCTGTTTTTCTTTCAAGGTTATCCGATTTTCTTCAAACAGGGACAACTTTGCACTGGAAATTCCAAACACGCTTCGAACGACGCAATTTTGATAAGTTCTTTTTAAAAGCGACAAGTTTTCCTAATAAGTAAACCGGTGCCGCATCGCAATTGTATAGGCGTAGGTACGTATCACGTACCGTCATACAGCCGAGGCTAGATGTAGAGTGACGGAATCAGCCGAGGTTTGCCGAGTGTAGGGTACCGCTCTGATTTAAGTCATTTCAAAGATGAACAGACATTGCAATAAGCACGGGATTTTTCGTATATCCTCTTTTATTCTTGGGAATGCCGCTTTTGAGCAAGCTACATCGTACAGTTAATATGCATCACATACCCTGGTCCGATGTCGCTCCACGATACCCGTACTGCACAGCGTACTGCACACGAAATTAATCGATAATCTATAAAGAATTAAGCATTCAGTATAGCATACAACACTCAGAAGTAATCTTATGTAATCAAAAGGTTACCAGTAAGTGATATCATTTGACGTTGTACAGATATTTCTGTTCAGTTCATGCTGCTCTCAGACGTTCCAGGAATTTTAACTACTTAGCCGAATTCTTACGTTTTATGTTCTACTGTAATAATTTTTTGTAGACCACAACCAAGGATCCCAAATAATTAAATATATGTTGAAATTTATACTTCAGATAAATAACAGGCATGGTTAATATATAACTGTCGTTGTAATAAACCAGTAAAAATTCCTAAAATGCTTTGACTGTTAGACAAACCTTACTAGACTAAAAAATGAGTGATCGAGCCCCGCGCCCAACCTTTAGAGATTGCTCTAAACAAAGTCAAAATTTCACAATTTTCTTGTCAATTTAAGCCTATATAATGGTCAAGGTAACCGAGATTTGTATCAAGTTCACTGACATTAAACTAAATGTAGCTAAAAGTTTAAAATTTTATCGGACATTCAAATCAGACACCGTTCCCTCGAGTAAATATCTGAAAAAGTGCTTTTGAGCAGAGATATACGCAAAATTAAGGCTAGATACCCCCCCCCCCCCGTTAGGATTGCCGTTGCCAGAGAAACGTGCTCCCAGAAAATTTCCTTAAAATAGGTCCCGACGCCATTACCACTACCTTAAGCACTTTTCTACTCTGAGGGGTTCACGGTGGCTAAGTGGGTGAGATGCTGGCTCGCTAGTCTGGAGGTCGGGTGTTCGATCCCTGCATTGGCTGACCGAGTTCATCTGTCTAGTCGTTCGGATAGGACGAAAAACCGAGGTCCCGTGTACACATTGGCGTGCACGTAAAAGATCCCTTGACAGTTGGAATTCGATATAAGAGTAGGCCGTAGTGCCGCTGTCCGGGCAAAATTTCCCTCATGGCACACTGTATGACGTATGCCCGTCTTCATTAGCCCATTTCGGAGCAGAACAGTAGGACGTTAAACCCCATTTCATTTCATTTCATTTCTTCTACGTTGATCTAGAAAGTTAAAACAATTGGGAAACAGAACAATTTGTTTGACGACTCGTTTGGTGTTGACAGAATTGACATGGAAGTCCCCTTTCTAGGAAACAAATTCTAAAATGTCGTCATTTCCGGAAAGTGGTAAGTGTCAGCGATTGTAAAATTGGTTTTAGTATCTGTTTATTGGGATACTGTGCCAATTAGGGTTGATTAAGATGTTAAATGGAGAGCGGGTTTTATATACTGTAATTATATTTTGGCTCAATGACATCGGAAAGAAGTACATGTTTTTCATTTACTTACTGCTCAAAGCAATGAGCTGCTGTAAGAACCCACTGACGATCAATAAGAGTTCCACCACACAAGTGCTGTCCTTGGTATCTCAGTGAAACCTAAAAGGATAAAATACACGGAATTGTTAGATTCGGGGCTGATTCGTTGACAATAATAATTTATCAATGCTGAGAAGGTCGCAAATGTTTTCTAGGAGAATCGACATCTTTAATACGGTATTACATAAGATGTTTTATATAAGTAACTCTTCGCCTCATGTAAGCACTGACCAAGCTACCAGGTCTGACTGAACAGTTCTAAGCCTGAAATGGATATATCAATTGGGTTGAAACAAACTTTTGCCACCATAAGAACTGCAACTGTAGTGTTATTATTGTCTTCGTACCATTTTGGCCATTTTGTGAACCTACCCATTGAAATCACCAGAAATGGACAAAACTGGCTATAGGGCAGTCACCCTGCAACTGAAAGGACTAACCCCAACACAGATACATGCCGACATGGTCTCCACTTTAGGGGATAATGTCCCTTCCGTTTCCATAGTAAAGAAGTGGGCTGCGGAATTTAAGCTTGGCAGGGAGAGCTTTGACGATGACCCGCGTCCCGGAAGGTCATCGACGGCAACCATTCATGAAAACATTACCCGGTTGCATGACATGATGACTGATCGACGATTGGCGACTCGACATATTGCTTGTGTTGTGCGCTTCTCTCATGAGAGAGGTGAGCAGATTATCGCCAACGAGTTACGAGCGTAAGAATCACAAAGTTTCTGCAAAATGGGTGCCGAAGCTCTTGACTGTGGTTCAGAAATGTGTCAGATTCCTGAAGTCCCGTGACAATCTGCGCCGTTTTGAAGCAGATCCTGATAATGTTTTGGCCAGATTGGTAACGACGGATTGATGAGACCCGTTTCAAAAATTGAAAAAGGAACTAGCCGGTCGTCATTTTCCCAGTCATGATGACGTTATGTCAGCTGTGACTTTTAGGCTGGCAGAGAAAAAATTTCTTCCTGACCGGTATCCAGGCCTTGCAACATCGTTGGCAAAAGTGTGTACAGGTCGAATAGACTATGTAGAAAAATAAATGGAAACCATTAACTTTGTATATGTCTTTCAAAGATAGGCTTACAACTTTTTAGCCAGCCCTCGTAGAATAATTATGTCTTGTTTATAGCTGGATGGGATAGGGGCAAGACTTGCGCATTTGATTATCACAATGCCTCTTATCTCTGAAAATCATTATTTATAAATAGCTGGAACTATACAATCGTAAATATTAAAATTCAATAGGGTTCAGTTTTTTTGCTCGAATGAATACCCCTTCCTATCTTTAAAACCATAAAGTCCCCTACAAGCGTTCACAAGCTCTAAGAATCGGAATCTAAAAGAATCAAGAAGCGTGGTCTATAGTTTGAACATAAACATACACGTCAACGTTAAATATGGACCCATAAAATGTTTCAGTAAGAATTGTCAAAGTAATGCTACCTCATGAAGCATCGCCGTTGTGCTGTCCCACTGTTTAATGTTTATTTTTTTTATTTTGAATATCTTATTTGAGAACAAACCTGCCATGGATATTCACCACTCAACGCTGATTTTCCTCCAATAATTCTATCATCTGATGCCACAAGTCGATGGCCGCATTGCTCTATACAAAAAAACAAGAATAATCTTTTAGGGGCATTTAGTAACTGGATAGAGCAATAAACTATAACACATATTTATGGAAATCATCTACTAATTTATTTGGGCTACGTTTTGAAGATTATTTCCCCAACGTTATCACTCTATTAAAGAGTAATTGCATCACTGTTTTGTGAATAAAATTTATCATTTGTCATATAATTTATATCAATTTGCTGATTTACTTGAAGCCGCAATGATCGAGTAGGCCAATGATCATTTCCCTTATTTAGATTAACACATATAACTGGAAACTGCTCTTTACATGGTAATTTAGATATAATATACGAAGGTCAGATTGATGTTCAAGCGTAGAAAGGAATTTCCTTCCGATAATCAGTAACAATAAAGATGGCGACCATAACTTAACATAGGTCAGAACTGACGATTTAAATTTTTGGACTAATGATTTTAGGCATGGCTACTTTTTATTACATGTACGTATCTGAATCCTTTAGCTGGAATAGTGTGTCTTTGAAGGATAGCTTGTAATACGAAAAACGCTCACTCATTATCCATTCCCATGATCTTAATCTTTATAATTATAAAAAATAAACAACATCTAATTATCTGATAAAAATTTTAAGATGTTGAGCTGGCACGATTTTTTTCCTGGGCTTGGTCAGAGGAATTCCTTTATACATGCCTTTTTACTACCTGATCCTTCCGCCTCAAATTCATGAATATTCATTAGAATGCAAATACTAGACCAAAAGGTCAACGAAAAAGAATTGCTATAAACAGACCATCTAGTCTTAGTCTAACTTTGTATTTAGATATCAATTACAGATAATCATTTTACATGTAGCAACTGTTACAGTAATCTATACAGGTCACAATTGTATGGAATACAATTATTGCTTATTACTGACCTGTATATTTCAGTTCAATTACTAAATGCCATTGAAAGAATGTAACGGTGATCCAGTGCACTATGCGACTACTAATTCCTGAGATTTGATGTAGACCTTAGTAATGTTGTTAATTATAGTTAGCCTATATAATCATTTATTGCACCCGTACTACAATAACAAAAACATAACTATATCACAAGAAGAATCATTACCGCTGCTTGTCAAAGGAGCTTGTGTGCCCTGGGGTTTGTTTTCGTTGTAGCAACACTTCTTTAAAAATCCGCAATGGCTGAATGACATCTTCTGTCCAGAATCACAAGAACCAAACATACTATGACATGAACCTTGATAGTATTGTGTCTCACATTCTAGAAAAATAAAATATTATTAATTTGTCCACATGTGCATTATTCTATTTTATGAGTTTGTCTTAACTTGTTGGAGAATGTGCACAAGAACCAATAATGAACCTTGATAATATTGTGTCTCACATTCTAGAAAAGTAAAAGATTATTAATTTATCCACATGTGCATTATTCTGTTTTGTGAGTTTGTCTTAACTTATTGAAGAATGTGCACATCTAAAAAGCTTTTGAGAGTTGGGAAGTTTTTCATATTAGCTGTAGGGAAACCCTGAAGGAAATACACATAGTAAGTCCGCCTACATATTCGACAAGGTAACCATGACAGCATAGATGGCAACACACATCAAAAACCATTCAGACCATACTCTGCTCTATATGAAGGAAATCCACATACTAAATCAACCTACACATTCTACATGGTACCTAACCCATGCCAGCATTGAAGGTAGACATATCAACAACCATTTAGACCATTAGTTGCTGTCACGACACGCCAACTTCTACGAATTGAAAGGTCCTTTGTAATGAAGCATAATTAACACAAGAATTTGTATGCGACTCAAAAAAGAACACTGTTATATACAACTATACAATACAACCATTGTGTTGTTTTATATACAATTTTACAACACAATTCCTCTGTCACGCAACATAATACATTGTGCTATTCAGCCCAGACACCTGCTTCATTTAAAACGTTTAACACAATTTATTTTATAGATCCGATTTGGCAAATAAACGACTGACAAACCGAAATCAGGTGTTAATGGGAATGACCATTGCCATGGTGACACATAAGGCTTCATCTCCCCTGTTAAACCGATAAGATCTGTCTTTGTTTGGGTCTGCAAGATCCCAAAGCCGTTGCCAGCGATCATAAATAATTAATGTAAGATATTTAAAAAATGGAAACGAGAAGATTTAAAGCTTCATTATTTACCTTACCGTGGATGCAGTAAAGGACATTGTCCTGGTTGATAAATGTCTGCTACGACTGAGTAGCCAGGCTGTTTATTATTAAAAGCCGGCAAGAAAGACAAATACTCAGAAAAAGACGTACATTCATTCGATACCACGAAGTCTGGAAAATGTCTCGGAGTTCAACAGTAGATATGGAAGCAGCATATGCAGGATGAACAAAGTGATTCCAGCTGGCGTGACCTCAACCGAATCATATGCATAAATAGGGGGCATAATCAACGCATCTCGCGAAAGAGATACCGAAACACAATGTATCTAGTTTCTTTTTTCCTTTAGTTAGATCGAAATCGATTTCAGGATGAGATATTTTGTTTCTGAAATGGTATATGTTGGATATTAAGATTCGTGGATAATAAATACCTGTGAGAGCGCGCGTTCCTGCTGCTAGAGCAAGCAGACAAATTACTTCCAATCCAACCATGATTTGTAATGAACTATAAAAACGGTTTTAGTTTATATTTTGTACTAAACCTAAGAGATCATTGTACCATAATCTTTAGATCTAAGGTGTGCTGCTTATCTATCCAAGAGATAAGTCACATTTCTGGCCAATTTTCTATATATGAATATATTTCTATACATCTATAAATTATGCCCACTATCAAAAAACATGGTGGTGGAAATTCAAGGATATTGTCCACGATGAAAGTATTATAAGTTGTACCACAAAATTAGGAATACAGCTGTGGACAATAATGTTCACAATATGGAATAATAACAAAGTTGACTAAAATGGGCTTTTGTTTTTCCCAAGCCTTAAAGGCCTGAAGGACAGGTAACCTTTTTACATCAACAGTAATGTTTCTTATGGGTATCGGACTACCACAATAATTGTTCGGTAAATGGATTTTCACATTGGAGATTGAAACAAATTACAAGAAGGTATCAGACACAGATGGAAAACAAATTCATCGCGCAAAAAAGTGTAGTAGTTAAATTATACTGCCCTGATCTGATAAATGGGCGAATCTCCAGATCAGTTACTAAATGTCATTGAAACAATTTATCAGACATCAGTATCTCGGCGATGTGACGGTTAAACTCGTCTATCAAATACTAAAAACTTGAGGGTAAATACAAGGGCTGGCTGAAAGGTTCTAGGCCATCTGTGAAAACTCTGGACAAAGTCGATGGTTTTCATTTATTTTTCTACTTCGAGAGACGTCATCATTACTATGAAAATGACGGCCGGCTAGTTTTTGGAAACAGGTCTCATCCATTATGCTAGGTTCCCACTATCACTATTCGTGCTGCGATTGAAATTGTGGATTTAATCGTGGAGTAATCGTGGTGATCCTATCAGGTCTTATCATATAATAAGGTCAGTCGTAGCAAACGTGTTGATTGTATCGAAACGTGTCCGAACGTCTCACTCCGATCGTAACGCATCGCACGACAGTGGGATGCTAGCATTATCCGGATCTGCTTCAAAACGTTTCTGATCCGCAGTCAAGAGCTTTTGTCATTCCTAACTCGTTGGCGATAATGTGCCCAACCCTCTCATGGGGATGCCAACGACATTGGCCATCACCATGTCATACACCCGGGTAATGTTTTCTTGAATTGTTGCTGTTGATGGCCTTCCAGGACGCTGTTAATCGCCAAGGCTCCCTGTCACGCGTAACTTCTGTGGAAAAGGAAGGGTCATCATCCTCTAAAATGGAGACCGTGTCGGCATGTATCTGTGTTGGGGTTAGTCCTTTCAGTTGTAGAATGACTGCCCTATAGCCAGTTTTGTCCATTTCTGGTGATTTCAATGGGTAGGTTCACAAGATGGTCTAGTTATATTAAAAATAATAACGCCCACGTTTCTTATTTGTGGCTTACTAATGTTCCTTATTTGTTTTAAGCTTTTGGCAAAAAAAGTTGTGATATTAGCATTTCCTCGTATCTAACGAATAGAAATGGTAGCCAGAATATGAAAAACACCCAAAGAAATAGAACGAACAGATAATTGTCACATACTTTGTCAGATCCGGGCATGTGAATTGAGTCATGTGAACTTGCCAGACAATGGAGAAGTTGTATAAGATGTGTGTTCTATCCAGTCCTTAATTTCAATAAAGCATTCTTTCTTTTCTGATAGACAATGTGCAGTCTGTAAAATCATCTTTCTGTCACAGAACCTTTAATTCTTTTGTGGACAATAACAGAAATTATGACACCGTGGTGTTGTTTTTGATATTTTTCATTATTTGCAGTTAAAATCGTGACCAAAATATTTCTGATTATCAATAATATCTTGAACGTATAACTATGGCTTGTCATGGTGTTATGTATGGTAACTGATAACATGAAATGTCCAAGATTGTGCTATATTCGTAATATGATTATATTTTATTGTACTTTTTCATGTATACCATTGGGCTGGTCACTCGGCAAATGGCCTTTGGTCCCCATGAATGTCTTAAACCCAGTTTAAACCATTGTTTCAGTTAGCTATAAATCGTGTTTGGTGGTGCGTACGACGTGTGATTTCTCTTCCTACAACACCGGATACTACTTTTCGTTTGAGGAGTTAAAGTAGCTAACAAAGTTTTGGTATGCGTTTGAAAAATTAATGGTTTTTGGAATTCCACTTAATACCAAGCAAAACGGCATTTCCGTGCTTAAATACGGTTTATCTTTATCTGATTAGGAGTGAGCTATCGGCGAACCCGGAGAATAACAGGTGATCCTACACAGCAATCAAAAATACAGCCTATTAGTTTTAATAATGTATTTTATTATTATGAACTATCGTTTCTTTTGTTGCACCTGTTTTATCCAGTCTAAGAAAGACGATACTCGAGTGTAGACACCTGGGGTATTTTTTTCACCACAACCATAACCCCATGATACAATACCAGCTATCTTCCATGATCCTCCTGTTTTACATACTAAAGGTCCACCTGAATCACCCTGAAAATAAAAACAAAACACATGCGGTATTAGATGTTTCTGTCACATTTTTGACATCTAGGTCTGTAATCTTTGGGAATATACAATAAGCCACTATATTAAGTTAAATGTTATTATAGGTTTACAAAGCCGAGATTTTGACATATAGAGATAAACGTTAAAAATTGCATTTTGGACCTGTGGATATCATTGATAACCAAATTTCTTTTTCTATTATCGCTCCTTGGGACAGTGCAAAATACATGCAAAGGTAAACAATAGTAGATAACTTTACTGTACATATTTGAGATGACTTGTTTGTTTCAATGGTCAATAAAACAATTATTTGCTTTATCCTTGAACATTTAGACTTGTATTGATATACAACTAAATAGAAAAAAAACTGTGTATAAAGTGTATAATATTTTTAAGATATAATCTATACATAGAAACACAAAATCATTGAACAGATGAATACGCACCTGTACCTTGTAACGGGAACTGTTTAAATAAATTGACAAATCGTATTCAATCTAACTAAATTTATTTCCGATTTCGTTTCGCTTATTTGTATTCCACGTCCTGTATACCAATACAGACAATTTGATTAATCAGTCAGTTAACTGATCTGAACTGCTTCAAACAAAATATGAAGTGAAATGAAACAGGGTTAAACGTCCTAAACCACCCGGACTAATGAAGACATGCATTGTTTTATGACTCAATGTTTGACTGAACGAGAGCGTTTCTGCCGAGACTTCGTCGAGGGTTCTTTTATGTACACGCCAACATGTACACGCGACCTCGGTTTTTCCGGGCCGCTGACAAGAGGGGTGAGGGACGCTGAAAATCCCGAAAAACTTTATCGACTAACACCTGGATTGTATCCTAAACCACCCGATAACCGAACCAGAGCCTTACTCACTGAGCTACCATGGCACACCAAACAATAATGTGTTGGAAGATCTTTAACGACAGGAACTTTAATAAACCTGGAATTAAATTCTTCTTAATGCACAAAAAAACAAGTGCCATAGGAGAAAGAAACTTCTCGACCACAAGAAGATTTAAATATCTGGTCCTTTCTTGCATATATACTCGGCGGTTCCTGGACAATACCATTTAAACTACATACACCTATAATGACCTGTTCCATATATTTATTTAGTGATTGATATGATGCCCTGGAAGTGTATGGAATTTGAAGCCATCTTCAAGCGCATCATGTAGGGTAAAATTGTAAAATATTAAATCACCTGACAAGCGTCCCTGCCACCAGCGTTGATGCCAGCACACATATTATGATCAAATACGACATCACCAAGATAATAACTACATAGACTATTTTTCAGAACGGGTATAGATACGTGTTTCAAGTACCGACTATCTGGACCTTCTGAAAATAGAAAATGTAGTCCACATCTTTCAAAGCATGCCTTTATTATACTGGATTTATTGCAGTGCTCAACTTACAACCGGCGGCTCTCTTGAGAACAAAACACACATCATAAAGACCACCCGAATGGTTTGACTCTTTCTCAGGCCTCTCTGATAGTTAACGGCCAGGTGTTGTTAAGGCGCTCTCCATTCAGTCTGTTAGCCGGATCGGGGGAGGGGAGGTTTTTTATATTGATTCCGCCTACGCCAAACTTCACATTCTACATTCATCCAAACCTTAATCATTTACTTTCCAAAGATTCTTGTGTAGTTTCCGCCTCTAACCCACAATCAATGCCGTTCGTTTTCACTGACATATGGTAACAGTTGTCCAGACTATCTCTATATATACTCTTCAAAAAAAGTAGGGGATATTGAAATGCAAATACCTATGCAGGTTGTGATATGATAAATAGTCATGGACACTTGACATCCTTATCGTCCCAACAGAACCACCGAGCTGCACATGCGACACGCAATAGCGCCATACACGTGGGAGGGGTTCATTGTTAAATTTGACACTCCAAGGAAGGGTTGATGAAAACTGCCGCGTGCTGGTTTATCTATCCATGTTATCATTCCTATCGGTTTTTGCATAAGATTTACTGTTTAGCGTATCTTTGCTTTAGTGTGTTACGTTTAATTTGATCGAGAGACGTGTTCGTCGACGTCAACCGACAACACTGCAAGAATTGGTCGTGTCACTGCAAGATGAGTGGGTCAGATTGCCCCAAATCGTGATTGGACGGTTGATTAGGAGCATGCCACGACGAATTGCTGAATGTCTGAGGATTGGTGGAGCAATTACTCATTATTAAGACAAAAATCAAAAACGTCCATTTCACTTTTGACAGTGTATCTCTTTGCGAGTGAAATAGGCCCGTCAAATAAGCCGTCAATATTAACTGTTTATGTTCATATGTAGGCAATTGGCCTGTTATTAACATACACTGGTTACTTCTAATAAAACAGCAGTGCATTTCCGCAGTTTTGTACTGTTTCTGAATATCCCCTACTTTTTTGGAAGAGTATATATGGCCCTGACACTGCCTTACCTCCTTTATAAATAAAATATGAACCCTGGTTAGATAATGCTTTTGGTCATTAGTTTGTTGGTATCAGATGCTTGTGAACAGTGTAGTATGACATAAGTTACGTCACAGAAGGGTATGAATCTCCACCCCCCCTCCCCGAAAAAAACATAACCCCCTTCTAACATCTAAAATACCTATATAGTTATATTTTTGTAAATGAATGGTGTTACTTACCGTCTTTTGTTGCTCCCCAGCCTGATACTGTACATATGACGTTATTAAAGTCATCGGTTGAGCCTGGAAGACATGCTGTTCTGACGTACTTTCCTGATGTGTCTACCGATTTTTCCAGCCTCATCAAAGCTATATCATGAGAAAGCGTATCATCGTCATATGAACTGTGGGCCTTCATAAAAACAACTTTATAAATCTGACTGCTGTAGACATTATCCATATCTGTAACACCGACACCAACAGTCCAATCATGTACAGTAGACCTTAAATATATAATATTTGTATTAAACTATGCTTACTAAGTAATACACGGAAGTTACCGGGCCAATGAGTACTGGACAAATAAGTATTGGACCCAAGCATAAAGTCAGACCTATCCCTTCACCCATAAGTTAATAGGTGTGTCAAAATAAAATTGACGATAAATTTCGCTGAACATATTTATCTTTTAAAACATGTGTGGTGGAGAACCCAGATATGCTGTAGATCATCAATCTAAATCTATATGATCCAGATCTTCTTTAATTCTCGGCAAATCTGGGGATAGAAGCCTAATTTGGAAAGGTAAATGATTCAACCAATTTAAGGTATGTCAGTATAGGCTCCCGTTTGAAAATACCAAAATACCCATTGGAGCTTAATAGTCAAGAGATCAAGTTACTACTCTTGCAGGGGTCACGGTGGCTAAGTGGGTAAGACGCTGGCTCGATAGCCTGGAGGTCGGGTTTTCGATCCCTGCATTGGCCGAGAAAGTTCATCCAGATTTTCCGGCGTGGTCCCCCCGTGTCAGTGTCTAGTCATTCGGATGAGACGAAAAACCGAGGTCCCGTGTACACATTGGCGTGCACGTAAAAGATCCCTTGACAGTTGGAATTCGATATAAGAGTAGACCGTAGTGCCGCTGTCCGGGCAAAATTTCCCTCATAGCACACTGTATGGCGTATGCCCGTTTTCATTAGCCCATTTCGGAGCAAAACAGTAGGACGTTAAACCCCATTTCATTTCATTTCATTTACTACTCTTGCATTGCTTCACCGTTCGGTCTGTCAAGAGCTTAAAGCGACTGTATGCAAGAGCGAATAAGTTGCCATTAATCAACCTTTCAATACTTATTACTGAGTATGCACAGTAATTGAAACATTTGAACTGTTTAAGCCCTGGTACATGCAATGTTTTTGAGTGATGCCCATTGTTTATCTCTCTAAAGCGATTTAGAATACTTTTATTATGAATATCCAAACTAATGTGAATCTCCAATCCGGTCTGTAACAAAATAGTAATCTTTTTTTCTTCTTCATAGAATTTATGGGAAAACCATTCAGCTTTAGGACTAACATATATCAAGATTTGACCCAATCATGTCTTTCGGTTCAGCTATTAATCATACATCATAGTGACTCAAGGCTACCAGTAATGTAATTGGTGTACACTGTACAATAATGAAATAAAATGGTAAGTAGGTAGCCTTTATACTCCTATATCGTGGAAAATTTTAGAACCAAAAATATTCAACAAAACTGTGCTTTGCGTTGAATTTGAAAGAGTTTAATGTGCATAAAGCCTACTGAAGACAACTATCGAGTCAATGATATGAATCATTTGAAATTCCTACAATGTCTGTATGAGTCACCATAAAAAATGTAATTAATAGCTAAGCATGCGTTATGTGCTGATACATTTGAGGAGTCAATAGAGTTGAATATTAACTGCAACGTGTGGCGTGGTTTCGGTTTACTTACTTCTCTAAACAGTGAGCTGCTGTCAGAACCCACTGGTGGTCAATAAGAGTTCCACCACACACGTGCTGTCCTTGATATCTCAGTGAAACCTGAAATCAAAATATTTATCTATTGCATTCATTTATTTATCCGGTAAGATAAATTCCACACTTCTATGGAATCCTATGTCGAAACGTCGCTCAGTAATAAACATATGTTTTATATTCCATGGAATCTATTCCTGTTTTTCTTTCGGTTTTATAATTTCCTGATAGTTAATAGGGGGCTATTAAATTGAATACTTCCGTGTGACCATCTGTCTATCCATCACACCTCATGGACTACGAAAACTATGGTTCTAATTTATGGCTGGGAATCGGGTTTAAATGAAATCTAAAGTAAAAAATAAAGGGGACATTTCTTATCTATAAAGGTATTTTTGTGATATAAAACCTACAACTTTATACAACTAATCTGGTCTTTTTTTGTTGATTTTTTGATCAGATCTGAGCTATCATAAAGCATATGTATGCCCTACATCTACATTGTGTGCTCTCAATAGATAATGGTATTTCAAGTCTGATTTTAAAAACATGTATTTAGTTTTTTTGGTGGCAGGATGGTTGATACTTGAAAGAATGAAACAAAACCATTGTTAATGTTTAAATAATAAAATATAGTGTTTTATTTCATTTGTTAACAAATTTCTTTTTATATTCTGATTTAATCGGACTCATTCACTTTCTTCAACTTTGTTTCAGATTCTTTGGAAAGGTACTGAAAGAGGTTTTTTTTTCTAGTCTACTAGAGGAAATGTATTCCTTCTGTTTCTTCTTGGGGGTTGGATGGCCGAATGGTTAGCACGTGACGTGCGCGCTGTATTATAAGGTCTGTCATTGAGTCAACTCGCGTGGTTTCGATTCCCCGGTTGTACGTGACAAGGAGTAGGGTCGCCTGTCCAGCCTCGTGGGTTTTCTCCGGGGCCTCCTGTTTCCTCCCACTAATAAAGACCCCTACGCGCAAGCGAATTATTGAAATAAAATTGAACCATGTGTTAGTCCCGCAATGACCTATAGTTTGTGTCGAGTGGATGTTAAACTCTCTCTCTCTCTCTCTGTTTCTTCTTTCTCTTTCTGCCCAGTATAAAAGTTTAGCGTTACAATTATTAATTATGTTACTTCAATGCGTTATCTGTATATGTTTGAAATAGGGGTATGTAATATATTTTAAAAATTCAGATGTAAATTTGGTAACGGTTCCTTCAAGGATTATAAAATGTATTGACTCTGTCGACGGCGTGGGATTTGAATAAAGTGGACAGGCGGCACATCTACCTACAGAGTGGTTCTCCTTCAAATTCTTATTATTTTGTATAGCTTTTTTTTGAGAACTAACCTGCCATGGATATTCCCCGGCCAAAGCTGATTTTCCACCAATGATTCTGTTAGCTGATGTGACAAGTGGGTGACCACATTGCCCTATACAAAGAAATCTTACATTATATAAAAAAGGTACATTATTGGGCATTGCTATTGCAGAAAGTGGGATTATTATAGTTTCGAAAAGATACATGTCAGCAACATACATAGACGCAGCATTGCCTCACAGTGTAGCCTATTGTAATAACTCACCCAATTTCTGAACTTAATTATAATAGAGCTGCCTGTATCTATTACGTAATTATAAATAGTCATCATATTATACGCTGCCATCGTAACTTGATCCACTGCACCATGCAGCATTATAAACCATACATCTACTAATTCTTGAATCTTTCTAGGGCATGTTCTTGATTATAATTATCCCAAATTACCATTACATACATTTTACAACAAGAAAAACCAACGTTAATTATATGTATAATCTTACCACCGCCTGTCAAGGGCGCCTGTGTGCCTTGGGAGTGTTCATTATAACAACATGTCTGTAAAAATCCACAATGGCTAAATGATATCTTCTGTCCAGAATCACAAGAATGAAATGAGGAATGGCATGTTCCGTGTAATGATGTCTCACAGTCTAAAATCAAATAAAGAGTTCATAGCCTAAGTTTTAGCAAATCAAATTGAAGAATATCAGACAACAGCCCATTGAATTAGCAAATTTGAATGACTTGAATGTTCAATGGAAAGCTCTTTTTAAAAATTCTGAAGCCTCGTGCCTAAAACGACTGGGGTATAAACCCTATATTGACTTTTAAAGCTTGCGCAGGCAGGTTGGCAGAAAGTTTCTCTAAAACAGAATGGGGTGTTCATTGTGTAATAAGTGATACCTCTTTGAAATATCGAATATTTCGATAATTTTATATCACACAGTTTCTTGTTGTTCAAGTCATAACGCCAATGAATACGACAGTATACATATAGATTGTTTGAATAATTTTAAACTTGGGATTGTTAATTCACTCACAATTTAAGAAACTTGGTAACATTTTGAATTCACACGCCATATACGTGTAACACAGAGTTTGAAAACTTGATTGGAATGTTTATTAGATCATAAATTTCAAATTTATTTTCTCTACAAGTATTAAGGGCACTTACACTTGGACCGATATTCTGGTATTTGAATTACACTAGCTTGATTGTGTAATTTATTTTGTGTTCATCGGATATCGCAGTTCATTCTGAAATTAGCTGCCAGTTCATGAGATAATAGTTTTGGTGGGGCAAAACTCCCAACACATTAAAGCGATAATTGCAAATTTTAAATCATATGTTTAAAACATGTTAAATTAAAGCTTTAACATGTCTATACACACAGTCCTACCTTGTTAAAGAATAATGCTAAATCCTATAATTCACTTGAGAAATTGGGAAATATCATTTTCTTTTAACATCGAACGTTGCTTTTTGAGGTGTTATTATCACGTGTGTAGGTTTGAAAAGTCGCGCTCAACCAGGCATCATTATCCTTATCTGTTTAACCGCGGATTTGACAATCTAGATAACTCCTTCACCCAATGTGTAGATTTAGTTTTCCAGTGAAAAGAAATGATACTATTTTCAAATACCGTCGGCAAGTAAAAATTATTTCACATTTTTATGTGAATGTTTTTTAAGTGTTAGAATGATTTCTATGATTGTATAGTAGTGATTTGACAACGTATGAAGTAATAGATATAGAAATAATTCTGTTTTGGGGTACTTCGAAAATATGCAATTATCGCTTTAACAAAAGACTTTTGAAATGCAGCATAATATATTGGCTTGCTGCAATACTTCATGCAGTAGGATATGAGGTTTTAACATTCCTAAAATGAATAATTACATAAAACAAAACTCTTTTGTTTTTTATCATTAAGACTAATAGTTTCACAGATCATGCAGTTCAATGTTGAGCCCAGTGTTTGGTCTTCGTCTCTTCAATTCTTTAATTTCTCCAATTAAGAAATACTTTTTATATAAATATAGATAGTTATATTTAGAATGTCAACATTAATAATATCAATCGAAAACATTGGAATATTAAAATTCTTGAATAACAATTACCTGTAACAGCGTGGGTTCCTGCTGCTAGAGCAAGCAGACAAATTATTTTCAACCCAACCATGACGTTTTACTTACTGGCATTGAATAATGCACTTACATGAACATTTTATAGTCCATAATGTGGGAACATCATTCCATTATCTATAGTCATAGGTCTTAAGGTGAGCTATTTATATCTATAGAAGAGATAATCTTTATTTAAATGTAAGAACTGCCCTATATTCTATTAATCTCGACCTTATATTTTTGCATTCAACAATGGTCGCTAAAATTCCGGCATACTGTTCATGTCAAAGGATAATAAATTTTACTATAATATATATATAGAGAGAGTGGATTATGGTGACTGTTAATACTTTTCACGATATGAAATAATACAAAATGAGCTTGCGCTTCGTAAAATTGACAAGGTATCGAAAATATTTTTTTACAATATGGACAACTATTTAACCTTTTTATATATGATCACAGCTGGGGAGGTCATCTTTCTGGATCAAGTCTACGTTTTTTCTTTTCGTGGAAATAATTATTTTACAATAACAGTAATATTATTATGATATCATTTCTTTTTTTTCTCATCTAAACTCCTCTTTTCGTGTTGAAATTGTTCCCAGTGGATGATTACCAGTCTTAAAGTGAACATTTAACCATGCCGCGTGAGATCCACAATGGGCTTGTAAATGTACAGGTCACAATTCTATGGAATACAATTACTGCTTATTTACTGAGCGACGTTTCGACGGTATAGTGTTTTACCAGGCAGTGTAAAGGTCACCTTACACCAGTGAACAAGTTATGGATAGTTGAGTTTGATTTATTGTGACATGACTAATTGGCGTTCTATAAGAAAGAACAAGGAAACCAAAACTCAACCTTGGGGTACACCAAACATGTACAGAAGAGCATTCCATTATCTGACTTAACCCACTTGATAAAGATACATTATGGGAGATTTTTATAGAGAGTTGGCCATTCTTGCTATAACAGTTCAAAAGTAGATGATGAAAGAAGAATACATTTAAAAATTCAGTCAAATTACTTTATTTTGAACATAGTTATCATCGTTGTAATATTTGCCTAGAAATGGTAGCGAATTGTGTCTTCACCTTCGCTGATCGTTTGATTGACAGGCGTTAACTCCACCTACATATCTCGATTATCAAGTAAAGTTTTCAATGGCATACCGAAACGCTTTACAGCGGCCTCGCTAAGTACACTCTATCATTTAGCCTCGATCTAACTGACGTATTTTCATCAGGTTATCCCTTATTTGATTTAATCAATTAGTGAAATCCTATTTAAATCCGAGCTGTAGCCGAGCCATCCGTGGGTCTACAGAGTTGATTTTGGTCTTGTTGTTTAAATAAAGATCTAATTTATAATTTCTATAACATCTGAAGCCTAAATTAAGACTTTCAATAATCAGATTTGGCTCTTGCATAATGCATGTTTAATATTGTGTGTATATTTAGAAGGGGTTTAATGAGCCGGAAACTTTTTCGTGTTATAATCACGTATAACAATAATTCAAAAGCAAAAAGGAATGAGTTTCAAATTGAAGGATTTCGAGAAAGGTTTCAATATCCCTCACTCCCAATCCACTTGCTAGTTCCATTTCCCTCAAACGACTTTTCGGCTAGTACATTCGTGTTTTGCTGATTGTATCCCCACCCCATCCCTACTTCCCCACTTATGTCTTCATGACTCAAGTCTTTTCACTTTAACTTAACGGTTTGAAGTTGTCTCGCAAAATTAGCCTTCTTTTATCAAAAAATAGAAATAATAGATAATTTCAACTTCATTTAGGTAGGAGATATTGTTTAGTAGTCTCGAAATGATCTCAACTTGTCGTCCAAAATTAATAATATCTTTCAGTTATGTCTATAATAATAAAATAATATAAACATAATTTTAAATCTCCACTTTATAATCAAAAGATAATATAATAACATTAACAAATCATCCTTATATATGATTTTCTGGGAACCTGGTTTTACACAAATGAACACATTTCTGGTATACAAACCACTTTTGTAATAAACGTCAAATTTAGTGACAAAAACAGTGAGGTTTAAAAAATTAAACAACCAATAACACATTTTCTTACTGATGACATTTAATTTAATACAGGAAGGAGATCGGACAGTTGTAACAAAAATATATTATCTTAATGGACACTGATACTTTATGACTTATGGCCAAGTATATCAAGATAGCTGTCAGATTCGAAAGAAACTGACAATTAAGTCGCTTTAAAGTCTAAATTATACTTTTCATTTAACTGAGAGTGTAATGAATATCAAGTAATACGGAAATGTTTAACATGCTTTAAAATTATTTTTTTCCTCGAGAAATAACAACAAATTTTTTATTGAAAATTTCGAGATTAAATAAAAATTTCTCGCGAACTAAGAATAAATTGTCTCAAGTCCCGCAATGATGATTGCTACAATGATAATTTCTACATTGCAGAACACCATGATTCGCTTAAGTGAGCTAGCGACACTGCAACTGGTCGAGATAAAATACACTATCAGATTTTAAAACAATTACATTTTCCAACACTTTTCAATTTATTGGTTCTTTTTAACCGGATTTGGGTTGATAGAATTTCCCTCCTTCGTGGCATGAAGCAATCGTGTAAAAATCCCACGAATCCTACCAATTATCGTCCGATCGCTCTAACTAGCTGCATTTGCAAAACCATGGAGAGATTGATCAATCGAAGGCTCGTTTGGTACCTGACCTCCAATGCGGATTTCGGTCCCAAAGGAGCACCCTTGGTGATCTCGTTCGATTTGAAACTTTCGTCAGAAAAGCTGTCACCCAGAAGCAATATTTAGTTGCAATATTTTTCGATCTGAAGAAAGGTTATATGGAAATATAGGTCGTTTTCCCTATCCATTTCCTCAGGAGAATGGTGTTCCAAAGGGAAGTATTATGTCTCCAACACTTTTTGCTATAAATAAAAATAGTCGGTCTTAAATACGTGCAGTCACATGCAGTCGGTCTCAAAATTATTCATCTCCAACTCGATATTATTCATAATATTAAAAAAAAAACAAAAAAAAAACAAAACAAAAAACAACCCACGAATTGGAATTCAATATGGGTCCATTTCAATCAATGCTGATGTTGATATATTGCAGTGAAAATATGGGATCCCAATATCCAATAGTTAGGACACAATATACATTTTAAAATCAGTACTCTGTTATCTCGGGTGCCAATTTTAAAGAGCAAAGACAAACCTATCCTACAAAACAATCAAATGGACTTGGTAGAAATAAAAGACTGTCGTCACCGAACATAATTGATATGAAATTAATATCTTTTTAAAAAAATAATATACATTCACATTGCATTAATATGTTCGTTTGGACCCATTTTCGTCTATTTTAAGGTTTAAAAGAAAAGAGCCGTGTGCCCTTTAATTGGGTATCATAATACACGCCAAAGGTTCACGTAACCCATGTAACACATAGTTTCCATGCATGTATGGAGGTTTTAAGACGTTACGATTAAAGTAGCTAATATAGTCTAACGCAATATCCCAAGTCTTCGAAATTGAAAACACGAATTAGTTGTCAATTTAAATCAACATTGATGTTGTGATCTCAGGGGAAAAGATGGGCTTTTGATATCCAATATTTATGACAAAATAAACATTTTACCACTGGCACACGATTGACACGAATCGTGTACCATAATGCGTTTCAGTGCCATTTGTTACAAGGGACTCGAAGAACGAGGCTAGACATATTCCACAAGTTATGTCAAACGGTGACGCCACATTCTTACATTGAGAGCATGCGCAATGAATAGGCTACTATCGGTGTAGACTGGAATAACCAGACGCTAGAGATTGTCATTCGATTGAGACTTCTGGCGAATTTCGCCGAACATAACTGATTTGAAATTAGAGTAAAAACGGAAACGATGGCGCTGCGGGCCATTTATGTCAATTGCTAGGTCCCAAATATTAGCGAATTAGCTCCTTTAAATTAGGCGATGGGCCATTTGCGAATGATATTCAATATTAGCAAATAATTTATAAATTATATAATGCTGAACTTACGAACCCTAAACGCCGGATTCTCCTCATTGTGATTATTACCACTTTCATAATTTGTCACAGATTTTCAGTACTTTGTACATCCTTGCAAAATTCTTAATAAATAACATGAATTCACATACGTACTACTCAATTTTATAAGTCATGTTATAAGAGTTTTCTGGCCATCGGGAATTCTGCAAAATATCCCCCACCCCCCAAAGTCCAGGAAATGGCATTTCAGGGACTCTAGATTCAGGGGGAATATGCTCCTGGACCCCTAGAAATCTAGCACCCGAAAGTGCTCGGCCCGTGGCTACGCCCCTCGTATTAGGGGCCTGTGCATCAGTCGGCATAGGCGTACGGACTAGAAGGAGCTGAGTTTACCGTGTAGTAAATATTTATTTGCCGCAAACACGTTTTACTGCTATTCCAGCCGGTGAATACAGCAACTTCAATGTTGTCCAATATATAGCCACTTTAAGCGTATGGAGACCTCGCGCTCCCCGAGAAAATTTTGAAAATTTATCCGCCGCAAATGCGTTTTTCTGCTATTCCCCGTGAATTAAGCAACTTCAAATTTTCCAATTGCTCTGCAACCGAAATCCGATTCTATGTCGATCTGAATTCCAACCATCCAATCAGACTGTTGCTGTTGCATACACAAATAATAATCGATGCCCGAAAAATGTCGCACATAAGAGAGTGGCTCCTGCAGACAAAATTCTTTAATAAATAGTCAATTCAGTACAGCTTCGTGGTATTCAATTAAAAGAAAAGTAAAATTAGTGTGTTAATAGATTTCTTATATTTTATTATTGCCAATTTGATGAAACAATAAGTTTTGTTTACACCTTATATAACCGTCTGCCCGAAAAGTCTAAGTGCCCCCCCCCCACCGGCTCGTACGCTTATGTCAGTCGCCCCCCCCCCCGCCTAAAAAACAAAACAAAATCGATATGTTTTGGTTTCTATAAAAGTTTGTATTTTGTTATTATTATATATTTATATGTAAATTATATTATGTCCCTATTCCCTTCAATGTTATGTCATAGTGTACTGGTCTAATTTATTTGCATTATCTATCTATCTATCTATTGCAACACTTTTTCTAAATACATGTTTTCTAAATACATCAATCCACCCATCTATCAGTCGATCTATCTATCTAATTTCTCTTGACCCCTCTGTTGACAATGCGTTGTTGTCTATTTGTTATTTATTTACACTGATCAAGATATTCGCATGACTGGGCAACGATGTATCTATGTGCATCTGAGGGTAAGGTCCGTGTACTACGTGCTAATGTGCATGTACTTGAATAATTCATTAAAACTATAGTTATGCCCTGGCTGTTCGGGATACATAAATGAACAAATAGTACCGAATGCGAATTATCTCGGCACGACGAGTGCAGGTAGCTGTTTTTACGGTATATAAATACATGTACGTTTACACGGTAGAGTTAAATGATGATGATTGAGACAGTTTGGCTACTTGTAAACAAACATCGAGTTAGAAGTCAGCTGAACGACCACAAGTGCCGTATTTGCAGTAGCTTTTAAAAGGCGTTTTCAAAATGACAAGCATTAATAGAATTCACTCGGAAAGGATTTGCGTAACACATAACGGTAAATTGTATGATGTTACAGATTTTTCGACAAAACACCCCGGCGGTGTCGAAATTCTAGAAAAACATGCCGGTCAAGATGTAACACAATTGATGCTGAACACTGATTCTGCTAGTTTAGGTCATAAACACAGCAAGACAGCTTATAGTATTTTAAACAAATATTGTATTGGATATGCTGACGACGTTAATAAAAATGCACCTTTGCAGACAAATTTAGAAAATCTACGAGTAAGACAAAGCAATTGGCATCCATCGTTCACTGATGAAAAACAGGTGAGTTCAAGTTGTTTATCTTCTTGTAGTTAGGCGAATTTCACCGTTAACAAAACTACATTGTAAACAAGTAACAGTTGGCGAACAATACAATGCATGAATGATTTTGAAAACATATAGACATAGAGCAAGGGTCATCCTAAATTTAATTATTTTCTGTGGGTGGAACAGTGAGATGAACCAGAGCTCTCCTTTCAGTCATAATTAATGCAATAATGACACTGAAATTGACAGGTTGGAGAACTGAGCTGTCAGCCACTTAAATTTACATGCCATAAAATTATAATTTCAATTAAAGATACGTTTCCGCATACAAACAGGGTGATTTGATGATATATTTGGACTAAAAACATATTCAAACTAATTAATTTATCATAATTTTGCTTCATATCCTTTTCAAAATATTGCAATTGCCAAGGAATACCCTTACTATAAAAAAATCGATCAAAAGAGGTCATGTTTGTGTCACGTGACTTACCTTTCTCAGTACCTAATAACAGGGGCGAAGTTGGAGGAGAATTCATTGCATACACAAGACGATGTTGTCTTTAACCGCTAACTATTTATTACAAATATCGATGCCTAATTAAATTCTCGGATTATCAACTGCCCAAGTTTTTTTCTGTGGTTTTTAACTCAGAAACCGTTGTACGTCTAACTCTTCATAAAGTTTATCAACATGTACATCAAGTGCTCAATCTCCGCGTACGACCTTTGACCTCACGCGTGCAGACATTCCAAATCGTCAGGCTGTCGATTAGGGAAACCCTTACAGTTTTGTCCTGTATGCGCTCCATGAGTGTTTTTCAGGGCATCCAGTATTTTTCTAGTAAGATTGGATATTTCTGCTTTCCATATATACCAAAATTGCGATACTTTTATTGGAAATAACCACTGGATAAATACTTTTCTGAGAACCTATCTTTAATATAACCTTAGAACACAATAAATATCTACATGTACAGTTAAATTGATAGTTTTTATGTATATAAACATTTAACAGGGTTATACATTGCCGTGAGTTATGAGCTAGAGGAATGTAGGACGTTTTGATCAGTGGACATTTTGGCCTAGGACTTTACGGCCCCCCTTTTTTTGTTAAGAAAGAGGACATTTCAGCTGATGTTTCAACAAATTCGTTTGTGGTAAAAATGCAAGTGCATCAAGTTGTAAGAAAGGTTGTGGATTGTTGCCTGTTGTAATGGACCAAGAACCATCCATATTAAGGTCTTGTAGTGTCTGGTGTTCTCTCGGTCTATGTTGGACTCGAACTCTTCATAAAAGACGCTTACAAGTTTTGGAACTTGGTAGATATGCTTCAAATGGTCTCATCTGGAAGCTGGGAATTTGCATGTGTGAATATCAGGTTTGGCTTGTCGAGTGTTGACTTTGCTGTTCTTTTCATGTTTGTGGGGTTGGATGGCCGAATGGTTAGCATGTGCGCGCTGTATCATAAGGTATGTCATTGAGTCAACTGGCGTGGTTTCGATTCCCCGGTTGTACATGACAAGGAGTAGGGTCGCCTATCCAGCCTCGTGGGTTTTCTCCGGGTCCTCCAGTTTCCTCCCACTGTTAAAGAACCCTACTTGCAAGTGAATTATTGAAATAAAATTGAACCATACATGTATGTTAGTCCTGAAATGACCTAGTTTGTGTTTAGTGGACTTAAACCTCATTTCTCTCTCTCTCTCTCTCCCCCTCTCTCTCTCTTTTCATGTTTTGTCTGCATTTGTATTAGCATTCTTGTCTGATTCTTGGTTATGTGTTTTTTTTCTGTCAGGGTTGTCCTTGTTTTGGGGAGTGGACTATTGCTGTATAAGATGTTTAATTAAAACATGTTGATCTTTATCATTAACACTTTGAAACTATGTATATTACAAGGTGCAATATACATGTGTACTTTGTAATTAATACATGTATGTGTTTTTCTGGACTTGGTAGTTAACAGTATTTCCTGGGGGATATGATAGCAAAAAAGGGTGATCAGATTCTATATCTTTGAGTATTAATAATTACCTATCAAAGAACACTTGATACCACTAGTAATGTGATCAGATTGTGGAGAGTACTGTTAGTCATAAATACTTAAGGGTTATTTATACACTAACTTTCTAAGAAATGGTATCATGTATTCCACTAGTGATACTAATGGAGAGAGAGAAATAGGGTTTAACGTTCACTCAACACAAACTAAGTCATTTCAGGAGTAACATATAGTTCAATTTTATTTCACTAATTTTAATTCACTAAGGGTCTTTGGCTGTGTGAGGAAGTCATGTATAAGCGAGGAATCCAAACCATGCCACTTGACTCAATGGCAGACCATGTAATGTAGCTCGCATGCATTAAACCATTCACCCACTGAACCCCCCAGTGTTACTAAGAGTTTATGCTACAGAATAATGTTTGTATGCAGATAGTATGCAAGTTGCAATATTTGAGACTTGTCTGCTGAATAATAATTAAGATATAAATGTTTTGTGATTCATGAATACAAATGGTAATCTTATATATACATGTACACATATATACATGTACATGTAAGCTTGCTTAGTGGTTTTCAAGGGGTTCCGTATGTAAACTATTGATTGGATTTCTAATTATTAAGTGAACCTGTTAGGTTAATTTGAATGTCATCATTCATTTTGAAATCTAGATATAACCTAATGTTAGATCGCTTAAACAAAAATAGTTGGTGATCTTATATTGTGATTGTGGATGCTCCAGAGGCTAAAGTTAATATCTGATTGACCTTAAATTTATACCCAGTGTTTAAGGTCATGAGATAAAGAAGCATATTGATTTGCAGCGATTTACGATAATCAATGCTAGAGGTACAAATGTATGACCCTTGATCACTTTTTAAAATCTTGTTGACGCTCTAGAGGCTAAAGTTAATATCCGATTGACTTTAAATTTATACACAGTGTTTTAAGTCATGAGATGAAGAATCCTATTGATTTTCAACTATTTTCGATAATTACTGCCAGAGTTATAGCCCTTGACCTCTTTGAAAAATCTTGTAGAAGCTCTTGAGGTTAAAGTTAATATCTGATTGACTTTAAACTTATACACAGTGCTAATGAGACAAAGAATCCTATATATTTTCAACTATTTCCGATAATTACTGCCAGAGTTAAGGCCATTGATCACTTTGAAAACTCTTGTGGACCCTCTAGATGCTAAAACTCCATTTCATTCATTCACTCTAGAGACTAAAGTTAATATAAATTGTTTAAAGTCATGAGACAAACAATCAAAACAAATTCTAATGTTTTCTGATAATTACTTCATGGGTTATTACTCGTAATCAGATTTTCATGTGGTTTACATGTACTTGTAAATGTTCTCATTGCTGACAAAAGAAAATATATGCGACAACACTTGTTGAATGCCCGGACGACTTAGCTGCTGTAAGTGTATGTTTTGTTGCCTGGCAACCCTTTTATGTTGGAAGAAGGGAGGTTTTTTTTTTTTCAAATGAATATACAGAGCAGCAATACTTCAGGAATAAAGCATTTATTTCATGTCAAAGCACAAGTCATCTGCTTATAAATTGCAGACCAATAGAGCATGGAAAACATCTTAAATCTGAGGAAGAATGCATGCCTGACATTGTTTACAGAATGTCCACGATGGCGCCACAGATGGCACTAGCTTAGGAATTTCATAGCCTAGCTACATTTTGGCACTTTCACCATTGGTTTTAAACATTGTAAGAGGGTAAACTTTGAAAAAAAAAAATAAAAAAAAAAATACTGGTTGGATAGAATTTTCTAGACGGGTAGAGATGATCACCAATTAATTTTTTTTATATCACCTTACATGTATATTGATTTCTACAAAGTTCTTGTCGAGAGGTAAAACTACATGTGGGTTGATATAAAACACTGTTTTAAAGAAACATCCTTTCTCACTGATGTTTATTACATGGCATCTGCTACTGTTAATCATTAGAACTTGACTAGGCAGCTTACAAATTTCTCAACTAAAATACTACTTATAAGATGATACTCATACCTGTGCTTATGGTTACCCAGACAACCCTATTTTTGTTTAGCCACAATTCCAATCGTAAATTTTGTTTTTTGTTTTTCTCATTTGCCAGGCCCTATAACTTGGTCTTCGCATAATTTTCTTTAAACAAGCTTTAACACTGAAATTCCAGCAATATTTTCAAGAACCTTACTCAGTAAGTTATAAAGGTCACCCAGACTTGAGGAAAGACCCAACATTAATGGTTAGATTTTCGAAAATCACATAATTCATGCACTATCCCTATTTATGTTAAGTTTCAGCCATGTACACAAATGTAACTTATGACCTCACAAAAATCCCCATTTTTAGGGCGTGGTCGGTCAGACTTAAGTGCGATTTGACTTGGGGGAAAGCCCCCAAATTTGGGGTTAGATTTTTGAAAATTATTTTTTCCAAGTATATGTCTTTGTTTCTGGTAAGTTTCAGCCATGTAACTGATGACTATATTATTAGCCGCAATTTTAGGGCGTTTTCGGACAGACTTTGGATCGATCTGACCTGGGGCAAGCCCCAAAACTTTTGGTTAGATTTTTGAAAATTATGTTTTCCATGTATGGATCTTTATTTCTGTTAAGTTTCAGCCATGGGGAGATATTGGGCATTGTCTGACTTGGGGAAAGCCCCAGAAATTTTGGTTTGATTTGTGCAAGATTTACTTCAGCAACATGTATGGATAACTTTGCTTCTAGAAAGTTTCAGCCATGTAGCTTAGGACCTAATTTTTGGCCCCATGAGGGGTACTGTAAGGTGCTGCTGTGGCTATATGACCAAGTGTGTTTTACTCGTATGGACACCCACTACAAATTTAGGAGGATCAAACCATTTTAACTGATGACCATATTATTTTGTCATTACACGTAGCTCCTGGAAATACATAATCCCAAAAAAAAAATGGTTTTCAGACCAACTGACCCTATTTTTTGTGGCCAATTTATCATAAACACAGATATATTTTCTCTTGGGTTAAAATATACCAAGGGTTAAAATATAAAATCATAGTACATTGCTATAATATACCCTGATCAAAGGCCATTTGTTATATGAAAAATCACTGACAAATAATTCTTAGTGGGCTCTGACCTTTATACAGACTGACATATAACCATATAGGTTATTTGATGTAGGTTTATTTAGCTGGCTAGTGGCTATAACTACTACAGGTACAATTAATACAATCCAGATTTACTGGTAATCAGACTCACACCAGCTTTATTGGAGGTTTTTTGGTCTAATGAAGAGGAAATGAAGGGTGTAAATATATTATCCTAGATTCTCAACCCAGATTCATGCATTTTATGAAAACATATACATAAAGATTATATGTCACAATGTTATTGCTAACAATAGGGTTATGGGCTTCAGGGAAGACAGAGAGAATGGTGACAGGGTCACAACACAATAATATTAAATTAACTGTTCTTACAATGATCAGCAAGGGAATGTTTATAGTGAAGCCCTTTTCAAAACTTTATAGTCCTAGATTCTGAACCTTTCATTCATGTGGATTATATAAACACAATGTTATTGTTACAGTACTACGAAGATAGGATTGAAACAGGTGGGGAGGGGGGAAAGAGGAGAGAGAAGAGTCACAATATTTTAGGTTACTGTACTTATAAAAGAATAATAGACAAATAGATAAAATTTAAAGTACCAGAAAGAAAGTTGAAATCAGTATAGTATAATAACAAACCAAGTACAGAATCATGGAAACAGAATTTATAAAATACAATCATGATTTAATAGGGCAGGGCCTGCAGCATACATGTACATGTATGCTACTTTTGTTAATCTGGTACGGACTTGAGCTTATCCATCAATTAATTCTTAAAGTATAAAAATGTAACGACATCATACAGGCAAATCCATTTTGTCCAGCAGTTTCATCAGATTTTTACGATATTCGAACTCAACCTTCGTTAAAACGATTTTCAAAATTGGAATACAAATTGTGACTTCCAGGAAGTTACGTTTCGATATGTGTGGTTATCGAAAGGAACCAAGATGTTTGTGATATAAACATAAATTTAAAGTTTCATCAAAATTGGATAAAAATGACCCCTAGAGGGTCCACAACTTTGATATACCATACTTTTACACTATTTGCGTCTGAGGAGCGACCATTTTGCCCAGCAGTTTCCGTCTGATGGTTATATATTCAACCGTTTTTTTAAAATTAAATCAGATAAAAATTGTGACATCTAGAAGGACCAGAAGCTAAAAGTGAGATTTTTCATACAATCAGGGGCCATAATCCAACAAGTTACAAACCGATATGCACGAATATCGAAAGGAACCAAAATAATTGTGTTATAAACACACATTTCAAGTTTCATCAAAATCGGATATTGGATAAGGCTGCAGTAAGTACCAACCAGTATCAATCAAAGACTACTGTGTTGTCTGTTTAACTGTATAATTTATAAACCTATGTATGCAAACAGTTAATCAATATGAAATAAGATGGGTTGGTTTACCGTCTGCATTGATACAGTTATTAAACCTGTATCCTTGTTGAAGGAAGATTTTGTATTATAAAATGTGACTGTGACCCATGTTATTTTTTCATTTTAGGATGATTTAATTGATTGGAACAAACCAATATTTCATCAAGTTGGTTTTCTGGGTGAAAACTACACTACATGGGTGCATCAACCAGTCGACAGGAAGTTCAGGTTGTTCAGTTCTGACTTATTTGAGTTTTTCGGCAGTTCAAGATGGTGGATGGTACCAATTTATTGGCTGCCTATATCCTTAATAGCAATGTGGCTGTCATATACTTTACTTTCTCAGAGAAATGATTACATATTTAAAATTACTGGATATCAGGGTATGACTAACAACATTAATTTATTTTAAAAATGTATTATCTGTACATGTATGTAAGAATTAAATAAAGAGCTGACCGTTCTTGCTATAATAGTTGAAAAATAGACAATGAGAAATGAATATATTGAAAATTTCAGTCACATTACTTTATTCCAAGCAAAGTTATGAATGTTTCATTGTCAAGTACCATTGCTACAATGCTAAACATACATGTAGTCACAATTTTCCATTTCAACGCTTAAGTTATGGCAGACATTTTCTAATCCCTTTAATATCACACTCATCCATTGGTAAAGGCTAAAAGCTAAGACCTATTGCAGATTTCGTCATAGGTCCCGAGATGTAAATAGGGTTAAGTCACATAATTGTTGACAAGATTGTGGGTTAAATTTAGCTTTTACATGTACATGATGCATCTCTAAAATTTTTTTTAGAGAAAGCAGGGGACTAATAGGTTCGTTCGTCTGTCTGTTTGTCACAATAACTTTCCTTTTAATTGAGCTAGCATGTTCACACTTGGTGTAGGTGTTTATTAGGTCAATGCCTTGATGGAGTTCGAAGATGAACATTTTCTGCTTAGGGTAAGCAGTGATATTGAATTTGATTGGTTGATGTTTTGGGACACGATAACTTTAGTTCTAATTAAGTGAGAGTGATGAAATTTGGTGTATACTTTCATTACATCAATACCTTGACTATGTTCGATAATGAGCAATTTCTGCTCAGAGTGAGCAGAGTGATAAGCAGTTTGATTTGTCGAGACTTTGGAACACAATAACTCTCATTCTAATTGAGCTAGAATGTTCACACTTGGCGTAGGTGTTTATTAGGTGAATGCCTTGATGGAGTTCGAAGATGAAAATTTTCTGCTTAGGGTAAGCAGAGATAAGCAATTTGATTGGTTGATGCTTTGGGACACAATGACTTTAGTTCTAATTAAGTGAGAGTGAGGACACTTGGTGTATAGTTTTATCATATCAATACCTTGACTAAGTTCCATAATAAAACATTTTCTGCTTAGGGTAAGCAGTGCGATAAGCAATTTGATTGGGCGAGACTTTGGAACACAATAACTCGACTTCTAATTGAGGTTGAATGTTCAAACTTGGTGTAGACGTTGATTAGGTGATTGCCTTGATGGAGTTCGATGATAAACATTGTCTGCTTACGGTAAACAGAGATAAGCAATCTGATTGGTTGATGCTTTGGGGCACGATAACTTTAGTTTTAAGTAAGTGAGATTGATGAAACTCCGAGTATTGATTCATTATATATCATTACCTTGACTAAGTTTGATGATGAGAATTTTCTGCTTAAGCTAAGGATCGATAAGCAATTTGATTGGTCAAGACTTTGGAACATAACAACTCTGCTTTTAATTGAGGAGAATGTTTAAATTTGATGTAGATGTTCATTAGATGAATGTCTTGACTGAGTTCAATGATTAACATTTCGTGCTAAGCTAAGCAGAGCTAAGCAAATTCATTGGTCGATGCTTTGGGACAAAATAACTTTGATTCTATCTGATAGAGAGTGGTGAAACTTAGTGTATAGTTGATAATAAGTTTGATTGCTTGATACTTTTGAAAAACATAAATGTGTGAATAATTAATATGTGTCATCTAATCTGTTTATTTTGGGATTTCGGCGGGGGACATCAGCCTCACCTTATTTTGGGTACATGGGGGGCATATTGAGCAGTAAATAGGAAGCAAAATTAGCCAGGCATTGAAAATGATGCATTATCTTCTGACTACATAATAATTAACTAAAGCAATGATGCCAGAGGGAAAATGGATGAAGAAATGGAACTTCTACTGCACAAAGAATCAGCTTTATGCTTGATGTTAGTTTGGTGCCAAATGCATTTACACTGGATAAAATAATGAGCTTTATAAGTCTAGAATATCAAGACACACCTTTTGCATGTACTAGATATTTAAAAGTATTACAAATTATAGGATTATTACAGTTGTTGCAGCTTGTCTTGGTACATGTACATGTACCTTACTTTTGCAGTTACAAAACCTCAATATTTTTTTAGTAAAATGGTAGACCAATAACATATATACATGTAGGCTTACCAGTAATACAGTTTTCATCTTAACAATAATGAGTAAAAAAGATAAATAGATAAAGAGCACAAACATCAAATTAAAGGTCAAACTGTAAGTGTAATGACCTCTTGACAATTAAAGACTAACTTTACCTAAAGTAAGCATTCTTCATAAAATGTTAATAACAGATAGCTGGCATTGTAGAATGGCACTGTAGCAGAGAGTTAAATAAAATGATAAAAAGAGAAAGCAACAGGATAAACAGTGATGGACACAAGATATTTGGTTAGAGGGGAGGGGATGCAGGGGTCCTTCTCTGAGAAAGTTTTGAAAAATTGCTGTGTCAATGGTGATTTGTGTCGTAAATATCTGGACCCAAATATAACATCCGCTTTCATCAGCTTTGGACTCGCTATACTGCATCGAACAAAAAACTCATATATACACTTTTCATATTGAAACAGAATAAGTGAATTTTTTATACTGCGATTTAGCCTGGGGTTCCTAAGGGCGTCTCCCCACCCCCACCCCACAACCCCCGACCTGGGGGGGGGGGGGGTTGCAGGGGGGATTTAAACCAATCTACATGTAGTCTGTTATAATATGGGTACCATTACCATATATGAAAATGGGAAACCGAATAGATGGATAGTCTCATGGATAAGGAACCGATTCAAATCACAACACAAAGTACCACTAGTGTTAATATATGAATCTGCATCATTACTCTTCTGTTACAGGAATTGAAATTGATAACAGTGCCTTACCAATAATTGTAATAAGTGGTGTATTGCTGTGGTCTTTGGTAGAATATAGTATACATCGTTGGGTGTTTCATCTTAAACCTCCTGCTTGGTCACCATTTTTGATTCGTATGCACTTTTTGTTCCATGGTCAACACCATAAGGTAAAATATATATTTTTAAGTTAGAATATCTAGCTAGGTGTACTTCTTCCTTTACAGAGTCTAGCTATTTTATTGAAGGTTAGAAAGGCTGAAAATAGTTCTGTGCGAGTATCACTGTGCTATCACCTAAATCTGTCACTGACTTATATAATTATAATATCAGCTGAATATGTACGGCAACGCCACTGGTTAAATGTACTCACCAGCAGAGAATTTGAATGCAGTCTTTTGATATTAGAAATCTGTATTCTACTTTCTTGTAGAAAAACATAAAGGCTTATGTTACAACGTACATTGTCTTTTACAGTTATTTATTCTTTTTTTTTCTCGTTTTAGTCTCCAATGGATCAAACAAAGCTTGTTTTCCCCCAGATGCCTGCCACATTCTTGTGCATAAATGTATTTACAATTTATTGTATTATCCTGCCATTGGCTTCAGCTTTAGCCCTTTTATCTGGTTCAATACTGGGATATATTTGTTATGATCTTACCCACTATTATTTACATCATGGTACTCCAACTACAGCGTATTATAAATCCCTTAAAACATACCATATGAAACACCATTATGTCAACCAAAGTGCTGGTAAGTTCATTATTTATATTTGTTGCACATTCACATGCTAGTGGGCATATGTTTTGTTTGTTTATCAATATGTAAGAAGTCTAGTTCTCTTTACTTCTAGTGTATGGGAAGCATGGGATGTGGGTCATGATCCTATGACTTTAATGGTGGGTATGGGTTCTCTCCCCCTGGGAACAAGATCATTTTTGAAAAATTCACTGTAAATGGTGCTTTCTACACTATTTTCCAAACGTTCTAAATTGTCCGACTAGGAATATTCCCAATCGGACATCAAGGTATGGTGAATAATATTCAAAATTCCAAATTAATATGTGTACTGAGTGTATATCTACCACTCAACCCGATTATCATTGATAATAGGATGGATTGAGTAGGTAATTAAGTGATCAACGTACTTATCGTGTTATACGGCCTATACACCTACCTTGATTAACTAGTTAATCTGCCTTGATTGGTCGATTTAATCCTTTATCAGACAATTCATCAATCCAATCTTGAACAGAAGTTGTTGCTTCTCCATTGTTGGACTATGTATCACTCCAATAAGAGTGATTATAAACTTAATCTACGTGATTGACCCTTGATTTCTCCATTGTCTGACCATTTGTGGTAGAGCAAAGGTTACTGCCAAATAAATTTTAGGATGTCATTTTTTAACCTTCCGTGTATAAGTCGAAATGAGGTACAAGACGAATGCCGGACTTCTGCTGAAAAATGTATCGACTTATGGCCCGAAAAATACGGGTCGGCAGTAGTCGGCACGCTTTCATTCTATTGTATTATGACATCATGTAATTTTGTAGGAATATTACTGACATAAATTTGAATTAAATATGAAGAATAACGAGGTGGACCTATTTTTTATTACTACGAATTTGAATATTTTGTTGACACATGATTTTTGTGTGTGGTATAAAACTGCCTGTTTAAATAATGATAAGAGTTATGTCCCTTTATTTTTGTAAAAATGTCTGACAAGAAAAATTTTGAAATCCCATCACTGCTGCAAACCATCAAATAGATAATAATCAGAGAGCAATCATACCAATTCATCACAAACAATGTAAGTTCATATTAAAAAGGCCCCAAAACTAAAATCGCATTAACTTCTGTTGGGGCCCACATGCAAACTATACTCACAGGCTCCTTCATAGTCCATTCTAAATTATACTACTTGTGTTAATTTAAGCAATATTTATTTACTGATAATTGAAATACAAAATTTCAAATGAAATAGCGAAATATTTTTTAATTTCTTCAAATACCTTATAAAGCCGTCACTGAAATTAACATTTTATACACACTGCAAGTTGATGATAAGAGGGTCTCTGCCTTTCCTGGTGAAAGAGGATAGCAGGGTATGAAGAAAGTTAGAGGAATTACAGGCAGCTGTCTGTGTGATCATTTTTCTAGGACATGCAAACTACGGCCATTATCATTAAGTTTCCAAACTGATAGCTTCAATTATTAGCGTCTGGGTTAATTAGTTGCTGTGTACTTATATGTAGGTCACTCATGCATAAGCCCAAACTCTTTAAACAGATGGCAAGTTCTTATGGATTTTCCAGCTTTGTTTCCCCATGTCAGTGGTCAGGATGGAGGGTCTGGCAAGGAATGTTGTTGAGTCGTTCAGATGGGGAGAAAAACCCAAGGTGTGTTGTGCTCATTGGTGTGCTGACTGTGCCCGTAAAAGAACCCTCAACAGCTAGAATTTTAAATAAGAGTAGGCAATAGTGTCGCTGTCTGATCAAAATTTCACTCTTAGCACACTGCATGGTGTAAGCTCGTCTTCATTAGCCCGATTGGTGCATAAAAGTAGCCAGTTAAACACCATTTCATTTTAATTCATGTTTTTATACGCCCACATTGATATGTGGTCGTATATTGCCATCACCCTAGAGCCAAAAAAGCTTGTGGACGCTCTATTTTCACTGATTTCTAATAATTACTGCCAGAATTATGGCCCTTGATCAATTTGAAAAATCTTGTGAACACTCTAGAGGCTAAAGTTAATATCCGATTGACTTAAAATTTATACACAGTGTTTTAGGTGATCAGAAGAAAAAGCCTATTGATTTTCAATGATTTCCAATTATCACTGCCAGAGTTATGGCCCTTGATCACTTTTAAAAATCTTTTGGATTCTTTATGACTATAGTTATCATCTGATTGATTTTATATTTATACACCATGTTTACGCCTATATATAATCGATGTGATGGAATTTAAATTGATTGAACAAGTATATTGATTTTCAATGATTTTTGATAATTTGAAAAGCTAAATCCATGATATTAAATGTTTTGTATACTAAATGTTAGCATGGGCCAAACAAATTCTAATGATTTTCTGATAATTACTTAATGAGGTGTTACTCTTAATCAGATTTTAGTTTATTATAAATGGTTAATTACCGACAAAAGTAAAAATATGCGACAACTCTTGTTGACTACCCGGACGATTTAGCTGCTGTATGCGTATGTTTCGTTGCCACGCAACCTATCTTTGATAATTTGAACAGCTAAATCTATGATATTAAATGTTGTGTATACTAAACATTAGTATGGGGCAGAACTAGAAGCCAAACAGATTCGACAAAAAAAAAATTATGCGACAACCCTTGTTGACTGCCAGACTAGTTAGCTGCTGTGGGCGTATGTTTTGTTGACTGGCAACCTATCTTGTATACAGTGTAGTGACCATAATGAGCAGTGTGTTGGCAATCATTTGACACTTACAGTATATCTACATGTATTGCATAATTTTTGAATTATTTATAACTGTACAAGCTGTTGTTGATAGTTTCACAGATAGTCAAACATGATTGTTATTGTGTAATTGTTTAATGTAGTTTATTTAATATTCCTCATGGGGGGGGGGGGGGGGTATGATAGGCACGGGTGGTATACAGTGTAGTGACCATAATGAGCAGTGTGTTGGCAATCATTTGACACTTACAGTATATCTACATGTATTGCATAATTTTTGATTTTATTTATAACTGTACAAGCTGTTGTTGATAGTTTCACAGATAGTCAAACATGATTGTTATTGTGTAATAACAGACCCATATTATTAAATAACTTTTATAGGATCCTTCAGGTGTATGTGACGTATATGTAACATATTTCAAAACATAAAACATAAGTATCCTCTTTGAAACGTTGCAGTTAATAAACCTAGTGATTGTTATCCATAAAGCTGTCTGCTATGATATATGGTTTTCACTAATGAAAATAATAAACTTGTTCACATAGTAAAGAAGCTAAGCCCCCTTGATTTAGGTCAAAATAAAATATTTAATTCAGTTGATTTGATGTGTTGTTACTTTTTGTTTTGAAAGATTAAGCAGAGGTCAGCTTGTTTACCAATTGTATGTTATTTTTGGTTTACCATGTTGAAAGCAGAGTACTAATTTAAATAGGTTAAATTGTAAAGGACAATATTGGTGTTAGTCATTATCACATATGTGATAGAACTGGTTAAACACGTTCCAAATATAATTTTAACACAGAGATCATTGCTACAATAGGTTTGTTATGAAGCTATCAAGAAAGGGAAGTGACAAATGCAAAAGGAAAACACAAGTTATCTTTCTATATAACTAACTGAAGTGATGAGTGATAACAGATTCACAGGCAAATTTCTTCTCAACAATAATTCCTTCGAAGACCAAAAGTTGTTATATGAGACTGTGGGAGGATATCTGACAATTCAAAATAATAATTGACTGTAACTAGAGAAAACGAGAAAAAGTCGGTGAATAAAAACAAGGGAATGTACGGGCGATTTTTATTTTTCTCGTTTTCCTTTAGTGACAGGGGTCACGGTGGCTAAGTGGGTAAGACGCTGGCTCGCTAACCTGGAGGTGGGGGTGTTCGATTCCTGCATTCGCCGAGAAAGTTCACTCAGATTTTCCGGCGCGGTTCCCCCTTTTCAGTTTTGCAGGACGGAGGGACTGACAAGGACAGCTGTCTAGTCATTTGGATGAGACGAAAAACCGAGGTCCCATGTACACATTGGCGTGCACGTAGAAGATCTCTTGACAGTTTGAATTCGATATAAGAGTAGGCCATAGTGCCGCTGTCCGGGCAAAATTTCCCTCATAGCACAATGTATGGTATATGCCCGTCTTCATTAGCCCAGTTCGGAGCAAAACAGTAGGACGTTAAACCCCATTTCATTTCATTTCCTTTAGTGACATTCAATTACTTTTTTGAATTATCAGATAATCTCTCACAGCCTTGTATCTGTTATCATTCGTCATTTCAGTCAGTTATATAGAACTTTAGAAGGATAACTCGTGTTTTCCTTTTGCGTTCGTCACTTCCCTTTCTTGAAAGCTTCACAAGGCATCTATCGTAGTAATGATCTAACATTGAAAAAAGCGACGCGCAATGCAGGAAGTGGCCGACATAGAACACCATAGTATTAGATTCTCATTGTTCGATCACAACTGTCTAGTTTTATTGTTTCACTGCTATACATGTATATAGCATTTGATTGAAATTTACAGACCATTTTAGTGAAATTTCAGTTTTACAGTTATTCTATCACTAAGCTTATACATATTCAGATTATATATGGCAGTATCAACCTCTTATAGCTGTTTACCTTGTAAAATTTGTAGGTGCCAGTAGGGGACATGTATTGCTTCAGCATTACTTTCAAAATCAAAACAACTGTCTAAGTATGTGTTTTGATAATTCTGGAAAACTCTTCAAGACTATTAAAATCAGTGGACTGTTCTGTTCTCTGTTCTAACAAAAGCTATAATGTTCTGTATCTGATCAATAGTTAACAAGCATAGTCTATGCACCCTCAAATTGCATTTGTAATCAAGAACTACTTTAGGGAAATATTTTAAGCTTTGTGAGTATGGTACAATGTATGAAAAATTTTAAACTAGCTGTTAGAAAAGGGCTTGGAGGCTTCACTTGGGCTGAAATTTGGGCTATAAGGGTAACTCGTACAAGGGAGTAACATAGACCTGGTGACGTTGCACATCTGAGTTACACCATGGATCGTGTATATATGGTCCATGGTTACACTACTTCTGGTTTCATTGAATGTATAAGGTAGTGGTTCAGGGCTATACCTGTGCAATGCTGGGTCAAGAGCTAGTAGAATATAAAATAAGGATAAAGTATGATAAATGATAATTATAAAGAAAATTTCTTATATTAATCATAAAATTAGACATAATATATGACAGATAGCAAATATTATTGTTACAAAACTAAGAAAAAGACAGTTAACACTATTAATGCAGTGTCAGTTAACCTATTCTCAAATATCCTGTACAAACTGGCAGTGGTTGTTAGTTGTAACTAAGGGACCTAAATCTAATTATAGCTGACATTAGTCTGGACTATTCATGCATCTACAAACTGTATATAAAACAGTAATAATACAATGAACCTATATATCTTCTGTATACTACTTACTTTTAACTGTACATGTATATATATAACCTTGATAATGGTTCCTTTGATTTATTTCTCAGCTGAAAACTAAATGGCTATTTGTATGAAAGCTGTAAATAAAAAATATAACCTACAAGTTGTATTTGAAGAATTATTATTCGTTGATATATTAACTTGTCTTACAGTCCACTTCAATGAGTATCTTTGTATTGATATACTTATCTTAACTTAGTGCTTCAATAAATGTATTTACAAGAGTGGATCCATGGTCTAAATTTCTGTAAAAATTATCGGGAATGGCATCTACAGCATTTTTCCAAATTTTTGGAGGGAGGCTACCTAGAACGCCCCCTTCCTCTCCCCCTTTGTGATTTTTTTGCTCTTTTGGAACTGGTGAATTGGCACTACAACACTTCAATATAGAGATCTGAAATTACTGGACCCCCCATCTGCTGACCTTTATTTAAATATTGTTGGACATTGATATTGAAATGCATCTTTTGAACTACTGTGAGGAATCAGATTTATTTATCTTGATAACTATAGTACAGTATATATCAGTAGGCTAAATAAGACTAAAGGATAAATATGATAAATTTATTTGTGTGATAGGTCACTTCCTCTGTCATCCTTGCAACAGAAAAAGAGTTTTTCATCTTGGCTCTGCCTTTTTCCCTATTCAAGCACTTTATCTTCCAAATACCAAAAATTCTGCAACTGAGATCAACTGCCAGAGGAATGTTTCTTGTTGTCATTTTACATAGGTACCAGCATTGCCATTGGATTAACTTTGACATAACTGGATTTAGAGTTGGCACTATGCCCCTTGCGCATCATATAACTTTGAGATTTTTTAATGTTTCTTGGGTGATGCAGTGATGCTTTTCTTGGAATATATCAACATCAAAGGGGAATACTTGTATTTGGACATTTTTGGATTGTCACTTAAAATAATTTTTATGTATTTAGAATAAATTTCTTGGTCCGATACAAATAAAGAAATATCATTAGCGGAAAAATATGGTATATTAATGTTTTGGACATTCTAGAGGTCTCAATTTTCACTCGATTTTGATGAATCTTGAAATGCATGTTTATAACCCAAAGATCTTGGTCCCTTTCGATATTTGCGCATATCGATTTGTAACGTCCTCATTTATGGCCCCTGATTGTACGAAAAATCGCGTTTTTAGTTTGTGGTCCTTCAAGAAGTCACAATTATTATCTGATTTAAAAAAAGCGTTCAAATATATCACCGTTACACCATAACGTTGGTTGAGTTTGAATTTCATGAACATTGGACCAAAACTGCCAGACAAAATGGGCGCCCCCTCTACACAAAAAATGTAAACATCTGGTATATCAAGGTTGTGGACCCTCTAGAGGTCACAATTTTGATCTGATTTTGATGAAACTTGAAGTGCATGTTTATAACCCAAAGATGTTGGTTCCTTTCGATATTAGCGCATATCGGATTGTAACTTACTGAATTATGGCCCCTGATTTTATGTAAAATCGCATTCAAATATATCACCATTACACACATCTTGGTTCCTTTTGATAATCATGCACATCTGAGCTTAACTTCCTAGATTATGGCCCCTGATTGTTCGAAAAATCACACTTTTATATGCCCACATTTTCATGTGGACGTATATTGTCGTCGCGTCCGTCCGTCTACACTCTATAGGTCACAATTTTTATCCGATTTCAACGAAACATGAAATCTAGGTTTATCTCCCTAAGATCTTGGTTCCTTTCGATATTGGCATGTATCGGACTGTAACTTCATGGATTATGGCCCCTGATTGTACGAATAATCACGTTTTTGATGAAACATGTTTATAACCCAATGATCTTCGTTGCTTTCGATATTCGCGCATATCATATCGTAACTTCCTGAATTATGTCCCCTGATTGTACAAAAAATCACGTTTTTTGAATTTTGTGAAAATCGGACGAAAACTGTCAGACAAAATTGCCGCCCTTCTACGCAAATAGTGTAAACATCTGGTATATCAAGGTTGTATCTGATCGTACCTTCCTGAATTGTTGCCTTGATGTTACGAAAAATCGCTTTTTGTTTAGCTTGTTCTCTATCCATCTCTTGCAAAATGTGGGCGTATCCTGCCTGGCAGTCGCTGGTTAGCTTGTGGATTCTCAAATTTTAAAAAACGTTTAAAATATCACCATCAGGGATGTGCTTAGCCGGGCGGCACTATGGCAAAGCCATGGTAAAAGCCGACGCAAACCATGTCTGCCACGGCATAATTTATTTTTGTGTGCTGTAGTAGACCCTATCATCTCAAATTAGTTTAAAGAAAGAGGTATTGGTATATTGTTTATTTATCTTTAGAAGTTGTTTAGGTCTATTCATTTTACAATTCTACGGTCTTTAAATTTGTATATTTGCCGTAAATAGGTCACCCAGACCAATTTACGGAACTCCAATTTTGTCGTAAATGGTGTCGTACTTTCAGTTTTATCATCAATTTTTAATGTACTCATTCTACCGTTAATTCTACTGAATATAAACTAAATCCTAGAGACAGCTGGGCTACAGTCCATTTTATTTACACATGCCTCAAAAAAATAAATTAGGCGGCAAGGCGAGTGTACTGTTTTACTTGTTCACTAATCACTTATAAGTACGAGAGGCTTTTGACTTTGAAACAATTCTTTTTTTTTTTTTAGTAAATTAATTTGCAGTATATTGTAAACTTTAGTAATAATAACTATAATGGTATATGTAATACCACTTACATTAGATTACATTAGATTTGTTTAGCATATGTACAATAAATAAATTTTGAAGACTTTATTTTTATGTACCGGTACAAAAAAATGCTGTGGTGCCATAGCAGTTCAATTCTGCTACTGCATTTTTCATTTGTTTGTGCCGTAGTGAAAATTAGAAAATTCCTAATTTCGAGGACTGCAAAATAGAAATTTGATTTGCAATGAAGCAAATACAAAAGGCAGCAGATGCTCTGAAAATTCAAAAAGAAGGGTTGAATTTTCATAAAAGACCACGACCCCCTCCAAAGACATTTTTTTCATCGCTAAGCTCGGCAGCTATTTTTTCAACCACTCAGCAAATCTTGGGCACATCCCTGCACCATTCCACCGTAATGAAGGTTGAATTTCAGGAAAATCGAAATGAAACTGCCCAACAAAATTGCCACTCTAGAGGTCACAATTTTTATCCGATTTTGATGAAACTTAAAACATATCTTTATATCCCAAAAATCTCATTTCAGACCATAACTTTCTGGATTATGGCCCCTGATTGTACAGAAAATCTCTTTTGTTTTTAGATTGTTCTCTATCCATCTCTTGCAAAATGTGGGCGTATCTTGCCTGGCAGCCGCTGGTTTGCTTAAACGAAGTATAGATAATCAGTTTGATTGCTTGATACTTTTCAAAAAGATACATGTGCAATTAATTAATATTTGTCATCTATTTATTTTGGGATTGCGGCAGGGAACAATCAGCCTCCCTGTTAGCTTGTTTAATTTTGTATCAAACTGATACTTCCTGTCAAAATAGCTGCACCTTTTTATGCAAATAGTGTAAAGCATGTATTACCAAGGTTGTGGACCCTCTAGAGGTCACAATTTTTATCCGATTTTGATGAAACTTTAAATGTATGTTTATATCTTAAAGATCTTGTTTGCTTTCTATAGTAGTATGTACCCTAACTTTCTGGATTATGGCCCCTGATTGTACAAAAAATCATGTTTTTACCTTGTGGACATAGAGGTCACATCCTTGTTTATGGCCCCAGATTGTATGATAAATCACTTTTTTTAGTGTGTTCTCTGTCCATCTCATTCATTGAGTCAAGTGGCGTGGTTTTGATTCAGTGCTTGTACATGACAAGGAGTAGGGTTGCCTGTCCAACCTCGTGGGTTTTCTCCAGGTCCTTGGGTTTCCACCCACTGCTAAAAGACCATAACGCGCAAGCAAATTGGAATAAATTTGAACCATAGGTAGTCCCGAAATGACCTGGTTTGTGTTGAGTTGCCGTTAAACCCCATTTCTCTCTTTGTCCTTCTCTTGCAAAATTTGGTGTAACCGCTTGTGTAAATACTGAACGGAATTAAAAAAATTCCTGTTAGAGAATTCCTATTGCTCTAAAATGCTGCAAAGAGACTTCAACTGGTATTATTCTACAAGCTATATTTTTTATGTTTTCCAGGATATGGTATTTCTTCCAAGTTGTGGGATTATCCCTTTAACACTTTAATTAAAGATTGAGAAGCTTTCCACCTCTCAGCATTAAGCTATAAATATGATGAGGTCAAAACTACAGCAATGAAGGCTTGTGAATCAGATTTTATCTATTTTGTTTCATTTTGATATTGATTAGTTGTTTTTATTGATTGGTAATTTCCATACCATAATATCTTAGTTTCTAGTATTTTACAAAATTTAAATTTCTTGAGCCAAAATGTGTTTTTATGACACATTGCATAGAGTATCAATTGTTTATACTGTTACCCCTCAGGAAAGTCTTTTAAAAAATAAATGTATGCGGTTTATATATTAATTGTTAGTCTTTATCCCTAGAAGATGCTACTCTGACGGGATAGACTAGTACCAGAAAAAAAATACAAAATTCATCCAGGAAATAGATGCTAAAATCAAAAGGTATATTTTTGCATGGTTAGGTATTTTGTAAGATATTAGAACTATGGTATATTGTACAGTTCTTGTCTGTCAGATTTAGTGTCTAGACTAAGAGTTGTAATTGCCTAAATTTGTATGATTAGAATTTTCATTAAATGACTTTACTAAATATTTGACACTATATGAGTATTGCTATACTTTTAAAGTTATACCTGTAGAACCAGTAATGCAAAACAAATTGTATTATTTTTATGCATAATATTATTAATTATCTTTTGATTGATAATTTAGCCTTTTCATATATATGTATATATATTTATATATGGAATATTTATCTAGCCTTAACAGGTATATGAAATAGTTATGCTTTGTTTATTTAGTATCTTGCTTGATAAATTGATTTATACAAATGAAATATGATATATTGTTCAGGGGCAGATACAGAAAATCTTGGAAAGGGGACAGAATAATCAATAAATGTTGCCAGAGGGTGTAGTGTGGGAAATGACTAGTCAAAAGTACAGGTAAAGATACCAAATGATTTGAAATGGGTTCTATCCGTCCACCTATCCTAGTTGTGTTTCCAAAGCATATCCCAAAAGCCACATAAGATATCTTTACAAAACTTTGTTCACACATTAGTCTATTATAGGGTTAGTGCTTTTAGTCCGTGGATGACATTGCTTTTTAATAACTTTTTAGTTTCCATGGAAACATGACTTTCTTTTTGGTATACAATTTTATTCCTAAGCATATTTCATAAACCATCTTTATGAAACTCTGTACACACACTAACCTATTACACCAGTTGTAAAAAAACAGTAAATCAATATATTTACTTTTACCTTAAAGAATTCTATACACACATCAATAGGCTATGGTAGTGATGCCTTTTGCCTATGATACAATATTTACTTTTTAGTAGATAATTATTATACTGGATCAGATCTCCAGAACTATTAAATATATCTCTAGGACTCTTTGTACACATATCAATTTGTTACAGAGTAGATAAATATGCCTTTCACTAATTCACAATCGTCTTATGAATAATTTTTATATGTCTGTATCAAACTATAAACATAGCTTTTCTTGTCACATTAGATGATTTTCGTCCGGTTTCTTTGAAATACCGGTGGCTCGGTAGCCTGGACGTCGCAGGTTGACACTCGGTGTTGGCAGGCAAAGTACACTAGGATTTTCCGGCGTGGTTTCTCCTTGTCAGTGGTGCTGGATGAAGGACCTGACAAAGAAGCTGTCTAGTTGTTCAGATGGCACGAAAAACAAAGGTCCTGTGTACATATTGGCTTGCACGTAAAAGATCCCTTGGCAGTTTTCAAACTTGCTTTGATGGTACATCTTGAACTGAGCAAATAACTTTTCAATCTGTTAATACTTTGAATGTGTAATTCTAAGACATCAGTTGTGTGATTGAACTCAATTTATGTTCACTATAACTAGGTAGAAAAACTGGAATCGCTGACACTATTTGTTATATCTTATGTACACTACTAGTATTTGGTTGGTGATTACCAATAACACAAAGACTATCTATCACTATACCTTCTAAAGATCAGCATATTGGAGAACTTGGCATTATGGTTTGGGTTAAGCTGATCCGTAAGAGAACATTTTAACATTTTGAATATTATTGATTTCTACATCACATTTGGTGATTTCAGATGTGTTTTAAAGTGCACTTAGAACCTTTGCGTATAGTTCTTCAAGTTTTGCCAGTCATTGTCTTGACCCCCCCCCCCCTTTCCCTACCATTTAATCCTAAATTCACCCCAGTTGTGTTTGCATGATATACACCAACATTTTTATGAGGACATATTATTCAAATTTAAATCAGGACACTGGTCATATAAAAATAATATTCTGGTTCTCAGGTACATGTACTCCCACATCCCTTAAAAATAGAATAAAAACAGTCTAATTTATTAGCGCACGTAATTGTTTTCCCACGGTTAAAGGAAGTAAGTATAAAAAAAATTCTAATGAATCCAGAAATTTACACAGCCCTAATAAATGTTACTAAAAGTCATAAATGAAACTGGATAATCATACAATCAACTTGACATGATAAGATAAAAGAGTGCCTTGAAATGCAATGTTTATGAGGGACTTGTCATTTAACTCAGTAGTGATACATTGACAAAAATAACACACAAAAACAAAAACCTCACTCCCTCATCAGATTTTTAGGAAGCATTGTCAGAACCGGAATATTTTTTTTGTATGGCCTTAATGCTATTTGTTTCCGATATTCTTCGATCATGGGTGAATAATTCGAAATGTATTCTCTTTTGTTCTTTAATAAGTAATACATAAATTTGGCAATATTTTTAGTCATTTTTACAATGCTCTATATCTGTAGAAATGTTCTACGGCTGCATTTATCATGTATTTATATCTTTTGATAGATTGTTTAATGTATATTCATTCATACACTACTAAATTATTAATTTTTTTGCAATTTTTGTATTATTATAGGTAGACCATAATTATTTGGAGTACACAAAGTATTACAATTACTTCTAAAAGTATAATATATGCATAGGAATAATTTTTAGACTACTTATGTTTAAGCTAAAAATTATTTTAATTTGTCACAAAACTAAAGGCTAGTGTAGAAAAGCTTGATTCTTGATTTTAATTCGTTAATTGGATTTTTATACGCCCACATGAAAATGTGGTCGTATATTACCGTCGCCTCCGATGGTCCGTTGTCCACACTTTCTTGTGAACACTCTACAGGCTACAATTATAATCTGATTGTTTTGAAATTGATATACATGTACGTTGTTTACATTACGGAGATGAAGCAGCCTATTTAATTTCAATAATTTCCATTAATTTCTTCTGGAATTATGGCCCTTGTTTCACCTTGTGAACGCTCTAATGACAAAATTTATCATCCGATCTGTGTGAAATTTATATGCATCCTTTAAATTAGTGAAACAAAGACAAGAAGCTTTCATGAACTGGAAACGGCATGACGTCATTTTACCATTATGATGATTGAAGTCAGTGACGCCATTTTGGTTAACCCAAAACATTAAAAATAATTGGTTGTGTGGAATAAATATAAAACTTTTGTTTTAAAACGAGATTAACATAATACCTAATTATCCCAGGGGGATACCCGGAACAGCCCGGCATATTGTCAAAATAATTAGAGTGACGCTGTTTTGAGTTAACCAATATGGCGTCGATGACTTCACCAAAATGACATCATGCCACCTCCACATCATTAAAGCTTCTTGACTGCACGGACGATTTAGTTGCCTGGCAACCTATCTTTGTCTTATTACATCAATGTTGTGAGATTATTAATCATAGCTTTTAATATGACCCTATCTATGGTTCTTGTTATGATTTTTGTTATTATTATATATTCAGTATTATATATCCTATGTTGTCTATTATCTTTACTGAAATGTTATTGATCTTTTGTCATGTACTCTTTTTCAAATTACAAATATGAAGCTATATTTATTATAAAATGTTTTAAAATTGTATTAAAGTGGAAATTGCAAATTTTTAAGTTATATTTTTAAAATTTATTAAAATAAAGTCTGAAAATAGATGGTATCCATAAACAGTCCTACCTTGTTAAAGAATAATCCTATTAATCCTATAATTCACTATTGCCAGCTGAGAAATTGGCAAAAATATCATTTTCCTCTTCATTTTCAAACGTTTGAAAAAAGCTATATACTCCATGGTGGAGAATAGAAAACAAGGGAGGTAACTGTATTATTATTTCCTGTGTAAATGAGTTTTAAGTGTGAGAATGACACCTATGATCGTATAATTGTGAGTTGACAACCTATTGAGCAAAAGACATAGAAATAATTATGTTTTGACTTTCTTAGAAAATTTGCAATTTCCGCTTTAACATGTATGACAGGTTTCTTGCCCAACTAACTTCCTTCCTGAGACACTGGATATTATAGATAATATATTATTAATATCTTTGTTTATTTCACATATTTTATCTTGACATTGAAGTCTTAATATGTATAAGAGTTCAACCATTGTTATGTAAAAGGATGCAACATCTTTGATTTGGGTACCTAATAAATGGAATTGTCGATTTGATGTGTTGATTTGTTTTAAGAAGTCTTTATATGTCTATAAATAAGTAAATGAACTGACTTCTGCTTGTTAATTCACTAATGAAAATAATCACATCAACCCAAATCACAATCTGATTAAAATAGAGATCTATATTTCGTTTCAATTTTATACACCCACATGTTCATGTGGACGTATTATGACATCGCAACTGAACATCCATCCGTCCACAATTTGTTTATGGACACTCTACAGGTCACAATTTTTATCTGATATATAGGTCTATCTCCCAAAGATCCCAGTTCCTATCGATATTGGCATGCATTGGTCCATAACTTCATAGATTATGGCCCCTGATTGTACGAAAAATTCTGTTTTAAGCTTGTGGACACTCTAGGTCCCAATTTTCATCTGATTTCGATGAAACTTGAAATGCATGTTTATAACCCAAAGATCTTGGTTCCTTTCGATATTTTGAACTATAAAAAAATGGAACGAAAAAGGATCTGTGTTTTAATCAGTACTTTATTTTGATCTAAATGAAAAAGGTTTAGCTCCTTATGTCATATATTGCCATATCAAAAGTATTATTTGTTCTTTAGTTTTGTTATTTGTAGATATTTATTGTTATTAATGTTTAAGACACATTGATGTATACATAATATACCATTATAGATTGTATCAGGTAAATTCTATTAGCATGTAATGTATGATGTATTTAATTAATTATTTCACAGTTCACAGGAGTAACTCTGATAATTTGGTTGTAAAACTTTTACAAAGACATTGGAATTTAATAAGGTGTGTTGATCCAAATGACAACATTTTCAATAGCAGATTTGAAGTCATTTATAAACAATATAATTATTTAGAATAAAGGAAAACCATAATAGAAATGTCATTAAATCTTGAAGTGAGGCATATAAGCACAGGTCAGCTTAGGCATTGGCACTTTGGTTCATGGCAAAAATAGGAAAAAACTATTAAATTCCAGATGAAAGTTCCACTTATCGGTCAAGCGGTGCCGAGTCTGGAATGCCTCAACCTTCTCTGTGATTGGTCAAAACCTGTGACATAGATGTGCTCAGTAGCCATAAACCAAGACGGAAATCGTTCTGAACTCTGTAACAACTCATTTAGTAATTTCACTTGTTATAACAGTTCCGTGCCATTATATATTGTTTCCACGCCTTCATGCCATTCAGAACTAAATAGATTTCCTATTTGATTAGATATATGTAATTTCTTCTTGTATTGCAGAAAGTTTAATTTTGTTTTACACATGCATTCTATTTAAAAGAATATGCGTGCGATTCAAAAAGATATGAAACAATCTTTTTGTAGCGGTAGGGAGTAGTAGGAACTCAGCGGTTCCAGTCTGGCCCAGGGCCTTGCTCATTTTAAGCAGGGCTTTGCATATAAGTCAAAGTTGAAATGAATTCAAATAACTTCGATGTCTTGTAAGGATGTGATATTGATGAGAAAAAGGTTGTGCAACAAAGTGAGTTGCCATCTGTAGAGGCGAGAGCTGTGAAAGGGTCAATTGATCTTTCCTATTAGTCTTACTTTCAACCACAACAAAGGTTGAACTGAACAAAATAGTGTAAATTGTGTATGGTTGGATTCTGGCAGTCTGGTTGGTTGTGATTTCACGCCCAATCCACGCCAATTGATTCAGACTAATACCGGTACTT